TTTTTTTTGGTTTTTTTTTTTTTTTTTTTTTTTTTTTTTTTTACTTTTTTAAACATTGACCTTTAGTAGATTAGGTATGCTTCGATGTTTGTAAAAAAAAAAAAATAAACCTGGAATGCCATTTACTTTTTCTTTTGAACGAGTGTGAAGGAGGAATGTGAATTAAAATCGAAAAATAGGTATGGATGGCCGTACAGGCCCATAAATGATTAAAAAATGTGCCCGTGTTTTTTAGACAACAGCGCGAGCGCGAGCTCAAAGTTCGTGCGATGGAAGAAGCCACACGTGGATCACGTCCCTAAAGAAAAGAAAGCCGATAAGCGCTAGAACACGAACATCTATTTCTCTCTGTCCCGGTACATTGCTGCCGTGGCGAAGACTCATAAAATGAAGATAGAAAACGAACAAGAGCGAAGATTACAAATGGGCCCAAGTTATTGTCGCTTAGGGACACCATAATCTTTTTTTATAAGTTTTCAATCAGCGAGACATGTTTTAGTGATCTGTTTGCGTTTTATACGTACACGTTTTTTCATAAACATTGTGTAGTGAAATTTAGGAGTCACGGAAGGGAGAAGAAAAAAAAGAGTACGCGTGTGTAAGTATGTGTTGGCGTGCGTGGATGGGAGGGAGAGAGCGAAAAAGGGAAAATATGAAGTAAAGCGTAAGAGTAAATCAAAATATTGAAAACGATAAATACAATAGGATCCCTTTCTCTCTCTTTCTCTCCCCCCCTTCTTTTTTCCTTAGTGATTTGCAATTTATCTTTCGGTTGTAACGATTATCCAATATAATTGACGATTGATTATAATTAATTTACTATTAATACTTGCTACTTTACGTTCATTCAGTGTTGCATACGTATGGTACAAGAGACGATTAAAATAAAATTGTAGAAGTAAAGCAAAGGAAATGACGAAGCGTCTGCCACTTTCGTTTAATGTCAACTACTGTAAATATTGAAAAAGACAAAGTAAACAAAGTGGAATAACACGCAGCAATTGATTATTATATACATACATTTATATAAATATATATATATATACAACACCCTTGCTCTCTTTCTTTCTGATGTATGTATATACAATACAGGCTTTTTCCAGCATATATAGAGCCACATTGCAGGGGGGTCCACGTATATCAGTTGAAAGATGCTCCAATGCAACAACAACGCCTATAGTGGGCGGAAGGGGGGGGTAGGACTCCCCCGTACGCCACGGGCTCCGCACTACATAATATACATTATAGCCGTTACGGCGAGTTGTTCGTCAACGCCGGCGCGCCGTGTGTGCACACTGTGATAATTATTTAATTATGCCCCGAGTTAACTCTCACACTCTCTTTGGCGCTGTGTAAGTGTCTTTTGTTTTGCTCGCTGTTTTTTTTTTTTTTTTTTTATTATCTTCATCGAACCTGATAACCTTCTTGCGCTTCGGTTCCCGCCAATCGCAGCTCCCCCGTACATGCATTTTTTTTTTTTTTTTTATTATCGATCTGTTAATTAGCCGAGAGAGATATTACGTATATACCCACAAGCGCTCGATTACGCTTGTTATGACACATTTGTAACGATGACGATTATAATACGGTTAATGCTTATATCGTTGCCCTGGCTGTGTTATCGTACTGTCGAATGCTGATAACAGAGGCCATGTCTCATATTTTCTTATTTTCTAATCACGTGTAGATAATAGCCTACTCCTCCTCCTCCTCCTCCTCCTCGTTTTCTTACATTATAATATATATATGTCACTAGTATTATCACGTACTACGTACGTGCTCGATCGTGTTTGTTCATTCATTCGTTCGTTCTCTCTCTCTTTTTTTTTTTTTTTTTTTTTTTTTTTTTTTTTTTTTATAAAATTATAATTGTAAGTTTTCACAACAACAACAACAACAACAAATGCTTTATTGATTGATTAATTTGTTTGATGTACTTGTGTGTTTGGCCCAGGAGGTGAATGGTAGAATTTTGTTCAGAAAGCAATACAACAGCCAATCGGAACGCTGGAGAAGGACGGCGGAGCTTCGGAGGAGGGGGAGATGTCAGCCGGCACCCAGGGCGAGATACGGGTTGGTCCATCGCATCAGGTTTGCTGTTTTTTTTTTAAATATTAATTACTCACTCTTATATATGTACGCGAGTGTGTGTGTGTGTGTGTGTGTGAGAGAGAGAGAGAGAGAGAGAGAAAGAGAAATCTTTTTTTTCTTGTTTTTCTTATCTGCAAAAACAAGGAAACGAAGAAAGAAAGAAAGAAAAAACAAAATACAACTTCCTTGCCACTTTTAGCTATGCTCTACTACCACTACTTCAACAAATGTATGTACACGCCGGCAGTTTATACTTACTCATCTGTACAACTCCAGGCTTACTGTTGTTGGTTACAAACTTTTATATATAACTATACTCAATGCGTTGGCATCTCTCTCTCTCTCTCTCTCATTTTGAGTGGAGAGAGAGAGAGAGAGAAAATGTGATTGCTTGCATCAGCTTCTTCGCGACGTTTGATTGAATTTTCGTGTCTTGCGCGAGCAAGCGTCAATACTTATACTCATCGGCAACTTCGCGATGGCACTTGGTCGACTTATCGACAAGTGATGTTTGTTGTGTCTCTCTATATACGTATAGGTAAATTGGGTATCACGATTGTAAACCGTATGGTCTTGTGCCGCGCACGGGTATATTTATACATGGGCTGTAAATCGCGTGTAATCGAGCGTGTGTGTAAAGACAATTAGACGCGTAAATTTGTGGATTAATAAAGTGACGGCGCGTTTATTTGATCAGTCGCGAGAGTCAACTTTGTGCGGTGCGTGTGCTCCGTTTCTTCGTCTTATTGTATGCTTATGTATACCTCGCGTTTGATGTTACGATTATTGATTTTAATAACATTGTAACGAGAGGTTTTTTTTTTTTTCCTTCTTTGTTGTCATACGTCTTTTAATGCTAAGCTGAGTACGTTTGTTTTACGACTCGGCCTCTACAGTTGTATTATTATTCACGACTCTTGTGCGCGTATACTTGTCATGGGTTTTCCTCGTTTGTGCGCGAGTAAAATGTAAAGCGTGTTTTTTTTTTTTTTTTTCAATCAATCGGTGTTTGAACTATTTCCTAAATTGGTACAAACTCCGATAAGTATATCGAAACAATGAGGAGTAGACCAGAGCAAGCTGGAGTTTAGGCGTGTACGTAAAAAGTGTTTTGATCGGCAGAGGATGAGCTAACAGGGCGCACAATCACGGGTTTTTGATCCAGGACTTGGTTTCTTGCCAGGCCCACTTGCCTGATTATCGGCCGGGTATCCCTCCCGGAGAGCTGCTTCCTGATCCCGAGTTCGCCAAGGAGCGCGAGGAGCTAAGATGGATCCCAGAAATGACCCTGGACATGGACCTGCTGATGTACCTGAGAGCGGCACGCTCCGTCGCCGCGTTTGCTGGCATGTGTGATGGAGGATCCCCCGACGGTTGTGTGGCAGCATCCCGCGACGACACCACCATCAATGCCCTTGACACTCTCCACGATTCTGGATATGACGCAGGTCGAGCATTACAAGCCCTCTACAAGTGTGCAGTGCCCAAAGGTATCGACAAGAAATGGTCCGAAGAGGAAACTGTGAGTAATATAATAGTACACAATTGCTTGTACTTATTATGTATTCTATACGTCCTGTTTAACACACATTGTTTGTCTTTTTCTTCGTTCCGTGCAGAAACGTTTCGTCAAAGGCCTCAGACAATTTGGAAAAAACTTTACTCGCATTAGGAAGGATCTCTTGCCACACAAAGATACGGTAATTATTATTTTGCCTTTGCTTTGCTCAACTTTTTTTATCGCATCCAACTTACCTGTGTCTACTCTTTTGTGGTATTTAAACTATACGTGATGTATGCATTACAAAATCGACCGTGTGAGTACACAAGTATGTGTAAAAATGCTAATAGCTCTCATTAATACTGGTCTGTCAAGCGATTGTTGAGTCCGAATGAAATTAATTACCAAGAGAGTCTTATCGACTGCTTGATTACACTTATACTAATGTGCACACGTATGTATACATTGTTTTCATTTTTCTGTGATGTATCAAATTAACATTGGGTCTTTTTTGGTGTGGGGGGGGGGAGTGGCAGTGATTTTTTGTCATCTCGTGTATGTTTGATTATTACGGAAAACAGATTGACATTTTTCACCCAATGAGGATTTAAGTGTCTGTTGATTCTTGCAAATTAGGCATTTCTCTCAATAACTTATATGCAAGAACATTCTCTATGCTTAAAAGTTTACCCTATTAGAAAACAAAGCTGTTTGCGGCTACTTACAAGTTCGTTTTTTACAAACCTTTTTAAACTATGACAAAAATTCGTTAAAGCTGAAGCAATATTGAAAATCTTGGAAATAAATAAAACTGTTCATGTTCCAAGAATAAACAAAAACAACGATTTGACATCGTTTTTCAACGTAATACTCTTGCGAGTATATGCCTCATTTTTATTAATAGCAATGTCGATTCAAACAGAAAAAAATAACGTTGAACATTTGTAACAACTTGCGTTGATTACAGTCTTTGTATGAACAGCTGGTTACACTTTTTAGAGTAATATTTTTCATAATTTGACGATAATATCATAACAGTAAAGCGAGACACAGTGACAGTGATAGCAATTTGAGCAGATAAAAATTCATGAAAATGTCTTTCATTGAGTGGTTTCATCGTGTATGTAAAAATTAAGACAGCCTTTAATTTTTTTTTTTTTTTTTTTCTCCAAAGCCGGAACTCGTCGAGTTCTACTATTTGTGGAAAAAGACACCCGCAGCGAACAACAACCGGCCACATCGAAGAAGACGCCAGGGTTCGCTGCGTCGTATTCGTAACACGCGCAACTCACGCGCCGGCACGCCCAAGGAGGATCAGCAGAACGCGACGACGCCAACTAGCGAAACGGCGCCGAGTGCGACAAGCACCGCCAGGGACCACACTCCCGCTGCCACGGAATCCGAGAGCAGTAGCAACGGTGCCGCTGGCGCCGGTTCCGGAGCTACAGGCTCCTCAAACAGCAATCCTACCGCTGGCGAGGTGAGTTCTGTTACCGAGGACGACAACTCCGAGGAGGACAGCGACTCTCGTGACACCAATACCAACGGCGTCAGCCACGCATGCCAGCATTGCTTCTCCAGTAGCTCCAAGGACTATCAGGTTAGTAGTAGCATCATTAGTAGATACGTGCTCGTTACTCGAGTTGTGCGTATGATTATTTGTTCTTAATCTGTTTCTCTCCCACTATCAGGTCACCGGTAAAGACAGACTAGTTCTCTGCGCGGAATGCCGAGCACACCTGAAGAAGACGGGCGAGCTGCCACCAGCACCACCCTATCTCTTCCGGCCCGTGCCGGCTGAGTCACCCGATAGCCCTGGTAGAATGCGAACGCGCAACAAAACCGCCAAAGAGACACGACCCTCGCGACCACGTAGAGTCGGCGGTACCGATACTCCCGACCAGGAGAAGCAAATATCTCAGCAGTCCCAGCAAACGCCGTCAACAATGCAGCAGTCGAGCGAGAAGCCCAAAAAGTCCAAGTCTTCCAGCAAGCCTGAAACTCCGAAGAAAGGCCAGAAGCGCTTGGTGCCGGACGAATCAGAGGAAGACAAGGACATGCAGAAGCGCAAGCGCACCGGCGAAAGGCCCGAAAGTCCCTCGGAGTCGCTGACCACTGACAGCAATTCCTTAATAGACGAGCCTGAGCGGGAGGCCGAGGCGGATGCCCCAGACAGCAGTAGTGCGAGCAGTAGTCAGGCCGGTGTTCCCGTGGTGGTAACAGCGAGTAGCAGTAGCAGCAGCTCCGGTCCTCCTACCACGGGTGGCCTGCCGCCCGACAATAATCCAGTGATGAGTCCGGCGACGACGCCGTCCGAGGAGCCTTGCGAGCCTCCGACGCTCATAACCACTCCCATTTCACCGCCACTGCCGCCTCAGCAACCTCAAATTCAACCTGTGGTGCAGCAGCAGCCTCTGCCGCCGCCAACGACGTCGCTGCAAGTGCAGGTGCCACTGTCACAGTCGCAGCCCCTGATTCAGAGTCTACCGATATCGGTTCCCGTCATCCACGCACGCGAAAGCCTCATCGACAAGAAGCCGTTGCTGGACGAGCCAAAGGACATGAAAGAGCCGATGGAGGACATGCCCTTGCCCCTGAATCAACCCCATCCCATAAAACTAGAGCCCCATCCGATCAAACTAGAACCCCATCCGTTAAAATTGGAGCCGCTTCCCCTCAAGTTAGAACCTATACCGATAAAACTGGAATCCATGTCAATGCCGATGACAATGACTCTGCCTATGCCGCTGGCCATGCCCGTGCCCATGGACAGCAGGTCCGCGTCTCCGCCCGTAAAAGAGGATATCGTCGACTTACAGCAGCAGCAGCAATTGCAGCGAGATCAACAGCATAATACCCCAGGCCCCGGGCCAAATCAGCAGCCGCAGATGGCGCACAGTACCTCGCAGCCCCTTTCCGTCAGCGAGTTGGCTCAAAGCATGCCGCGCAACCTGTCGCAATCGATGAACAATTCGGCAAGCGGTCTGTGTCCCCCGGGCTTACCTCCGATACCTCATTCCGCGGCGGCGATAGTCTCGGGGCCCGCCACGATGCCCCTAGTGCCTTCGAGTACTACCAATCAGTCGCATCCACTGAACATGCAGTACACCGGACCCACCTCGATCACCTCAGCCCCTCAAAGCGTGCCTCAAAACCTCTCGGCCCAGAGTCTTCAAATCCCGCAAGGCCTGCAAGTGCCTCCACCACCCCCACCAAGCCTCCTGCAAGCCACACCGAGAGATCTCAGTCAAACGCACCCGGAAAACATGTCGACGAGTGCGCCGCCTCCGCCACCGCCACCGACGCTACCGGTGCCAACGAATCTGGTCATGTCCACGCTGTCTGGGCCACCGCCGCTTAATCTCAACATACAGAGTCTGACGGCGAGCGGTTTACCACCGCAACTGCAGCCACCACCACCACCGCCACCCATGTCCAGTTCGCCACAGCCTCTCGGGCTCACGATTCTGCACCAGGAGCGAACCATTTCCGAGCGTATGTTGTCCGAAGACAGTCGAATGCCTCCTGAGAGGTTGCGAGACAGACTACCGCCGGACCGAATAACCGACCGGATAGTCGATAGAATCCAGCCAGACCGGATGCAAGATCGGTTGCAGCAGGAACGCATGCAGGACAGGATACAGGACAGTAGAATGTCGGATAGGTTGCCGCCAGACAGAATGCCTCTGGATAGATTAGGACAATTGGAGCGCGACGACAGGGAACAATTGGAACAACACCAGCAGCTGCCGCCACCTCTGCCTCCTCTGTCTCAGACGAGACCTGAGCCGCTCAACATGTTCCAGCCGATCCAGCCACCGCCGCCAATGATACCGAGTGATAGGCCGGGGCCACTTTACAGTCTAGCCGGGACGCCGCCTATGGAGCCTCAGAACTTGAAAATCAAGCAAGAGATTATCCATCCGGAGCCCGATCCACTTCAGAGTCTCAAAGAGGTCAAGATTCCTGGTTTCCAGACCAATTTTCCAGGTAAGATAAATGGATTTTTTTTATACTTCATTTTATTCTTGGGCGTAGGCTATCGATTCTAATGTACCACATCCGACTCAAGGTCCGAGCATAGAAAACATCAAAAAAGACCCAGATGCTGTTGTGGGTAGAGAAAGTAGCGGTGGCAAGCCGCCGACCCCGAGCAAGCACTCGTCCTCGTCGTCTTCGTCCTCCAATCAGCAGCCTCCGCAGCAGGTCTCGCAATTGCAGTCGATCGCGGCCTCGCCGCAGCCCAGCCTTCCCCCGCCCCCAACGTCGATACCGCAGCCAGTGATGCATCCTGTGCAACAGACGAGTCCGCACATGGCCCATCCGTTCCACCCGCATCATCCGCTTATGCCGCACTCCCTGTTCGCGGCGATGCATCCGTATCATCCTCACGCTTACCCCGGTTATCCAACCGTGCACGGTTATCCCGCGTTCCCCGCCTATCCTTACGGGCCCGTGCCCCACGCCATACCACCGCCGTCGCCCCAGCGCAGCGAGGCAACGACCATGATGACGGCCCACCACTCCAGCACCACCTCGTCGGTATCGACGCGCGAGGAGTGCGAGAACCTGATTGCCACCCACCACCATCACTCGTCTTCGTCCATGCATCACCAGGCAACGACCCTCCATCACGACAAGCTGCTCACGATATCGTCGTCGCACAGCTCGCACAGTTCACACAGTCACTCGCAGCACTCGCATCAGAGCTCGAGGAGCGCGAACAAGCCAAGCCAGCTCGTGTCCTCGGCCCCGTGTCTGAGTTCCTCGGTGAGCGCGATGCACCAGCAGCACCACCACAGGCCGGGAATGGGAGTCCATCAGCCGGTTCAGCTCGGACAACTGCCGGCCGAGCCCAAAATCGAGCCCGAGTCCATGGAATCCGAGTCCGAGGACCCCTTGCCTAGCCCCCGCGGGCCCACACCCGAGCTCAAGCTCGAGGACACAGAGTGTCACCGTTCGCAGTCTGCGATATTCCTGCGCCACTGGAATCGAGGAGACAACTCCTGCGCCCGTACCGACCTCCTATTCAAGCCCGTGCCGGACTCGAAGCTGCAGCGCAAACGCGACGAGCGTTTGCGCAAGCAGGCCGAGCGCGAGCGTGAAGAGCGCGATCGGGCGGCGCAACAAGCGCAACAACAAGCCCAGCAACAGGCGCAACAACAACAGCAGCAGCAGCAGCATCAGCAGCAGCAACAGCATCAGCAGCACCAACACCAACAGCAGCAGCATCATCATCAACAACAACAGCAACAACAACAACAGCAGCAGCAGCAGCAGCAGCAGCAGCATCAACAACAACAGCAACAACAACAACAGCAGCAGCAGCAGCAGCAGCAGCAGCAGCAGCAGCAGCAGCAGCAGCAGCAACAGGCGAGAAAGATGAGCACACCGGATAAGCAGTCGGATGGGTCGTGCAAGCCACCGAGCCGTGGTCACCTAGAGCCCGTCGTTTCACCGTACGATAGGTACGCGACGCGTCCGGGTGCAGCCGCTGCTGCTGCTGCTGCGGCCGCGGCTGCCTATTCGGACACGCCTGCGCTGAGGCAACTCTCGGAGTACGCGAGGCCTCACGCGGCCTTCTCGCCCGCGAGGCATCCCACGGGACCCGGCGATCCGATGCTGCACTACATGTACGGCACGGCCAGAGAGAGGATGGAACTCGAACACTTGGAGCGCGAGAAGAGAGAACGGGAGATCCGGGAGCTTAGGGAACGCGAGCTCAACGATCGGCTCAAGGTGCGTTTGGCCATTAATTTCATTGTTTTTTTCCGTAATACACATAATATGTGTATGCGGTTTCTGTCTACTATGTTCACACATGTGAATTTAAGGAACGCCTTTATTTTATTTTGTTGGATTATAAAAGTCATAATATTCACCATGCTGTCAACGTTGGGTGTTGATTTTTCCGTTTGATAAATAAGTAAACTTTGAGAATTGCAGTAACTTAAAAATATAATGGTAAATGTAAAATATAACGTCTCTTCCTGTATATGGGTGTTTTATAATATTAAAATTTGCATTTTTGATTTCGAAGAGTCTGCTGTTAAAAAAAAAATAAATAATAAATAAATCAAACAAAAATTTTTCGAAAGGCAATATAAAAACTAAAAATTTTTTTATTATAGTTTCAAAAGTACACAATCAATAGCATTTTCCAAAATGTAAGTCATAGTTTATTTTAATTTTATAATTAACCAGCACCAAACTCATCTAACAGTATTTTCATAATCTAATATTGCTCACTTACATATGTATATGATTACATTTTCAATATTTTTTCAACTATTTTTGACAAGTTCTCCTGTACTATAAACTTCAGGTATAAGGCACAATCTAACACATAATTATGGTATCATCTTTTGCAAATGTAACACTGTAATTCATATAACACAAAAAAAATCACAATCATAATTACAAGGGAAGATATTCAACATAATCCTTTCGACAATGGTAGCTTGATATCAATTCAACTTTTCATATCTTTTTATTTTCTATCTTCTTTTTTTTCGTTTCATTTATCATTCGACTAGAAAATTACGAAATTTATTTGAGATTATAATATAAAGCCAAATAACTTTATATTCCCTTATAGAATACGTTCGATCCGATGATTTTCCAGGAGGAGCTTCTCAAAGGTGCGCCTCGTCCCATGGCTGGGCCGGTAGATCCGCACTGGTTGGAAATCCACAGGAGATACGCGGCTTCAGGTGGCCTCGCGCCTCCAGGTCCGGGTGGTCCACCGCCTGCAGGCTTGCACCAGTTTGGCCTGTACGCGGTACCACCTGGGCCTAGTCAGTTGGACAGGGAACGGCTCGAGCGACTAGGTAAATAATTATCTTTTTTTTTTTCTTAATTTAGACAAATCATCATCTCTTATCGTACTTCATAGCCCCGTTAATGGGAGGTTTTTGATAAATTAACATACAACAAAGAGATTTCATAGGGAGCACAATAGTAGGTATATACATAAATAATGACAATAGTTGATAAAATGAATACCTATATCAATCAATGTAACGTTAACTTACGATTTGTTTGAAACAAAACGACGAAAAAGAAAGAGAAAAAAAATTTGAAAACTAAACTCACGAATGACTTTTTGATAACGAAGATCAAAGGCTACTAAAAAAGTAAGTGCCATCAATAAGGGATATGTAAGTCTTATAATATCTGCTTCTAAAAGTTAAATTGTCTAGATTTATCTCTAATTTTACTTTGACTTGATTTCTTTTTTTTTGACGCAGTTTTGTTTTTACTTAAATTTTATTTTCCATACCATTTGTTTGAAGCAATAGAATTAACTTTTTTCCCTTTTATCATTGTTTATCTAGTTTTTATATGTGCTAGTAGTGTTACATTAAGTAAAGACAATTGAAAATTTGCTGTAGTTTTTTTTTTTATTTTTTTTTTTATTTCGAGAGATTCCACTTGAAAGTGTCTTATTTAGATTTTTTAAGTGTCCATTCTTCTAACTGTAGTGGCTTAATGTGAAATCTTTTTTTCATTTTTCGTCTTCATTTCAACTCAAAATCAAACTTATTTGACTCTTCACTGCCTACTGTTATGGTTTTTGTAACAAACACAATCTACACAATCCTACTTTTAATACACATTCAACACATACATAATAACTAACAATGCAACTGACCACCTTACTTTAAAACATATACCTAACAAATTTAAATAACATTTTGTGGATTTACTTTTCATGCAACACTTTATATATGACAAAACAATGCAAGCATCAGTTGCACGTAAATTTATGAGAATAATCAAACATTCTGAAATCGATTGAAAAACTTGTATTACTAAGTCAAGATTTGCTATGAAAATCTCAAATAGAATGAACGAGACTTTGCGAGGCTATCACTTGAATGTTTGCGGGCGTATTATGTAGCAGTGAAGTGAAGGGTAGAAACAGTTAAGGAAAAAAAAAAAATTAACACCACCAAACCGGGATCCATGGCATCTTGAAAATCAATTGGGAAAGCAGCATAAAATCAATCACAATCGACAGAAAATGAAAAGAAACAAACAAAACAAATCGTAAAATCAACGTTCGAATGACGGAAGTGTATGTTTGTGATCGAAGCGGCGATGTCGGGTTTAGGCTTAGCCGCGGGAGCAGCAGCGGCGGCGGCGGCAGGCGCGGGCCCGGCCTCGGCCTCAGGAGCGGCGCACCCCGCAGCGGGTCATCCCCACGCCAGCCAACTGGACGCAGAACGACTGGCCCTCACCACGGACCCGATGGTGCGGCTCCAGATGGCCGGTATCTCGCCCGAGTACCACGCGCACACGCACGCCCACACTCACGCCCATACGCACTTACATCTGCACCCGGGCCAGCAGCAGGCGGCAGCCCAACAGCAGCAACAAGCGGCGGCGGCGGCGGCGCAACAGCAACAGGAGGCGGCCGCGGCAGCCGCGGGATTCCCTCTGCCCGGTACGACGTTTTTTTTTTTTTTTCATGCAAACAAACACAAACACACCAACAGTGTGCTTTGAAGAGTTTAATCAGTGGGACATTCTCATAAATCTTTTGCCCCCCCCCCTCCCCTCGCTTCTTTTTTCATACATGTTGAAGATACTTGACTTGCAAAATGAGGATTGAAAGATTGAACTGCTGTATGCGCATTTTTGGGTAGGCAAAGCTAAACTCGTTTTTTTTTTTTTTTCGTCAATTAATACAAGTTATTCAAGTTTCAATAATAATTATTACGTTTATTCATACGTGTGAATCGGAAAGGAAAAAACTAAACGAAACACGTATCGAATCGTGTTTTTTTTTTTTGTTTTTTTTTTGTTACTTGCAAAATTAATTGCAAATGATTCTATGTGTTAGCAAAATTAGATTGAAGCTAACATTGTTGATGCTTGAAAAGTAAATGCATTCTTGTAATGTGTATTGTAAATTTTAACAGCCAAAATAACATTAACCCTACGATAACATATCGGTACAATTGTGTTTCAATACAATGTCTCGTTAACACATGTTCTTTTTCAAAAATTAATATTTAGCGTTTCAAGCATCAATGTTGTTGTAGGAACACAAACATTAGCTTTCAAGGAAGTCATTGTAACGTACTCGTGTATTGTCTTTCAATCCTTATTGAAATATATAATCATTCCGTCTAAAAAAAAGCATCACCTTCCAGTCATGCTCAATATTGAGCTGCAGCCTGCTGCAAAACGCATTAATCTTTTGTCTAAGTTCTTTCACCTTGAAAGAATGACCTATTGTCTTGAGGGCGCAGTCACACTGCCTGCTTAACCCGTAGCCTGAAATGAAAAAAAAAAAAAAAAAAAAAAAAAGAACTTACTCATACAGCATCTAGCATAGTAGATTTACTCTAACGTACGGGCATCCCTGCTCTTTGGATTTTTGTTTCATGTACCCTTTACCCCCTACCCCACCTCGATGTTCAACGAACGGACGAGCAGCAGCAGCAGCTGGGGGTAACTATCCGAGGCCAGGCTTGATGGGCCGCGAGCCAACGCTCGCCCTACACCCGGCCGAGCTGCTTGGCAGGCCCTACGACATGGCCGCCCACCACGAGCAGCTACAGCGTCACCTGATGCTCGAGCGCGACCGTTTCCCGCCCCACGCCTCGCTTGTCGCTCACCACGAGGAGTACATAAGGTTCGTCTAACAAAAAGAATTCTTCACCGCCACTTTACTACATATATATACATACATCTGATGTGTATACTGGCACCCTGTATGGCGGCATCCCTTTTCTTTCTCCGTTGCCTCTGCCTCTCTTCTTTCACCTCGATCCATCCTTCGATGGCTCTTCTTCTCCTCCTCCTCTTATTTTTTCGTATACATGTGGATCTTTCTACCTGTCGCGAGAGAATCCAGGCTTGACCGAAAAAGTTTAGAAGAGAGGGAGAGAGAGGACAAAAAAAAGAGTGCAAGATTTAGCGAGAGCCCAATTTTAGGGAATGAGGCGCTTTGATTGTATCTTACTTCTGCCGCATGCAATATTATGATACGCGATGTGACTTTTTTTTAGTCGAGGTAATTTTTTTTAATTTTTTTTAATTTCCTCTTTTGCGTTTGTAAATAGTTTTTTTAGTGAATTTTCACTGTTTTAACTAGGTATGTGGTATTTAAAACATACAGCAATATATTAAAGACAAGTTCGTGCATCAAATAATTCATTCGTTCGAAAATGAAATTTTTATGAATAGTTTTCAATTCAATCAAAACACACTTTTATCATTTTTTACAATATATTTATACAATTCACAATGTACAGACATTTTGAGGTATGAAATTTGTAATTGAAACTGTGTGTGGAAAATTGAATATTTTTGTATTCAATATCGCGTGGCGTTGTGTTATACACATGCATTAAATCGAACATTTATTTTTTTTTGGCAAAGAAAACATTGTCTTTACGACAATAACGTGTTTCAAATGAAATTGATCAATTTTTTGTACGTATTATTAATGTACCAGAGTAAGTGCTGGATTTTTTTATCAATATGACAATCAAATACATTTTTGTACAGTGTTGAAAAGGAATGTTAAAAATTGTGTTCCTTATTGTAGATAATAAATCGATAGACGACTAATGTTTGATAAATAAAACTGTGAATCATTTGATAAAAACTTGGTAGTTGTGATTCGTTTCAATTCTATTGAAAATTCTTTTTAAAAAAACACCCTTGTTACAGATAGTATTTTTTTTTTTTTTTTTTTTTTACTTTTTTAAACATTGACCTTTAGTAGATTAGGTATGCTTCGATGTTTGTAAAAAAAAAAAAATAAACCTGGAATGCCATTTACTTTTTCTTTTGAACGAGTGTGAAGGAGGAATGTGAATTAAAATCGAAAAATAGGTATGGATGGCCGTACAGGCCCATAAATGATTAAAAAATGTGCCCGTGTTTTTTAGACAACAGCGCGAGCGCGAGCTCAAAGTTCGTGCGATGGAAGAAGCCACACGTGGATCACGTCCCTAAAGAAAAGAAAGCCGATAAGCGCTAGAACACGAACATCTATTTCTCTCTGTCCCGGTACATTGCTGCCGTGGCGAAGACTCATAAAATGAAGATAGAAAACGAACAAGAGCGAAGATTACAAATGGGCCCAAGTTATTGTCGCTTAGGGACACCATAATCTTTTTTTATAAGTTTTCAATCAGCGAGACATGTTTTAGTGATCTGTTTGCGTTTTATACGTACACGTTTTTTCATAAACATTGTGTAGTGAAATTTAGGAGTCACGGAAGGGAGAAGAAAAAAAAGAGTACGCGTGTGTAAGTATGTGTTGGCGTGCGTGGATGGGAGGGAGAGAGCGAAAAAGGGAAAATATGAAGTAAAGCGTAAGAGTAAATCAAAATATTGAAAACGATAAATACAATAGGATCCCTTTCTCTCTCTTTCTCTCCCCCCCTTCTTTTTTCCTTAGTGATTTGCAATTTATCTTTCGGTTGTAACGATTATCCAATATAATTGACGATTGATTATAATTAATTTACTATTAATACTTGCTACTTTACGTTCATTCAGTGTTGCATACGTATGGTACAAGAGACGATTAAAATAAAATTGTAGAAGTAAAGCAAAGGAAATGACGAAGCGTCTGCCACTTTCGTTTAATGTCAACTACTGTAAATATTGAAAAAGACAAAGTAAACAAAGTGGAATAACACGCAGCAATTGATTATTATATACATACATTTATATAAATATATATATATATACATATGATATTTACAAAATAAACTAGCGCAGCCTAGCCTTCTAGAGGATAGTGTTCGATTGATTATAGCAGCTTAACGCGACTGTGTATATTAATTTTTGAGATTCGTACGCGCGTGTATTTATCGCTCGTCAAACTGGTGGCAATTCCTCCCATGCTCAATTGACTTATTTTCAACTATTTTTATTACAATTACTTTTAAATGTATTTTGTTCTTGTCTTTTAATTTAATAAGCGAAAATAAGACCTGAAGTTTTTAACTTAATGGAGAGCTCGAGTCACGATTCAGGTATTTATAAATATAAATANACATAGATGTGTTTTTTGCTGCACTCTGATTTTGGTTCGTTGGCCGTTGAGCATTTTTTTTTTTATTTCGCGTTCGATTATTTTATTTCCGAACTCGAAACAGTTAAACCTTTGAATTCAATTATAATAAGCATAAAAATAATAAAATAATATTTGTAATAGTCATCATATACCAAGAAAGTTTTAAAACCGCCTATCCTTTTTACGTCAATTTTTATTTTAATAATTATTAGCACAATTTTATTACTTAGTCGTGTAAGCTAAGTTTTGATGGTGTTGCGTTGATTCGTGAAGAAATTGTGTATATTACAAAATAAAAATAAAAAAATAAAAAAATATGAAAATGCAAAAAAATCAAGCGTAAAAAGCAAAATTCTGAAGAAATCAACCGAGAGGGAAAAAAAGCAAGCGCGCTCTCGTGTTGGTAGAAACGAACAATGGCGATGTAATAAAAAATTTTTTGCTATTTTATGCGTGACTGGCTGATTATGAACATTGTAAACATTTGCAACAAAATGACCAAAGTATAAACGCGAAACAAGCAGACGTGTTGACGTTTCTTTAAGCGCGCCTTCGCGTGCGCTCAAAAAAACTTTGTATAAGCGCGCGCCCCACGCGCGTCCGCCTCCCCCTCCCCCCAAGAGATATTTAAGAAGGAACCATTTATCAAATGTAAATCACAATTCAGTAGACAATGATAATGATAATTATGTCACTGATGATGATGATGATAAATGATTGTAATAATTATAATAATGGTGATTATAATGGTGATTATGATGTATATCATAATGACAATGATGGAGATGACGATTTAAATGATGACAACGACTACGAGGACGATGACTATAATAGTGATAGTGATTTTATGATAATAGCGATGACGTTGACCAGACTACGATAACGACTGAGACGACCATGATGTGTAAAAGCACAACAGTGAGCATCTTAGTGTGATGAACGCTGGATGGGCTTTGTTTTTTTTTTTATGCCATCGACGTTTTATTATTTTCTACGAAAATAAAAACGCGATACCTGCATCTCTTTTTTTTTAATGTGAACTGTGAGTCATCTCGAAAGGGGGCATGTACATTTTAAGCTGAGGTATATATGAAGGGAAGAAAGAAGTAATAAAAATAATCGATTGTAACGATTGAATTATAATGTAACTTATTCGCAACACAGTACATAAATATTTCTTACTATTGTCAGACCGCATTAAAAATGAAAAAAAAAAAACAGACATCGTTTTGTCCACCGAGTTCTGATGATTTTTTTTTCTACCCTGATTCCTCCAGACATGCCGATACTTAATCTATACAGTATTTGAAGAAATATTATTATACTGAAAGATATTATAGGCAGAGTGAATTACTTTGTATTTTAAAATAAACATTTTAAGAAGACTTTTGCTTTTATTTATTTACCTGAGTATTTACAAGTCAAGTTCACTAATTGATTTGAGATACAATTAGAATTCATTACTTAGAATGAATGGCTTACTTGAAAATATATTTTTATTGACTGTGAATCTGTACACGTTACACAATAATTAACCTTATTTTAACATAAAATTTTTAAACTTAATTGACAACAAAACACTCTACACTCCAGTTGAGTTTTATAATTATAAATTGTAAGTTTGAAAAATAGCTATTATATTAAATAAACATTTGAATGAAGCACTGAATCTGTTTCATTAACAGAAATATTTTTACATAGGAAAAGAATAATGTCTGATTTTATAATTTAACTCTTGAAAATATTAATATTTAGAAATATTAGAAATAGATTTGTTCATTCGAGAATTTAGCGAACTTGAGCTTGCAGGGGAAGCAGTGTAATACCCTGAATTTGCAGACCTTGGAACTCTAGTCATCGATGGGACCCTAAAAATCTGATCTTTGCCCTTGTTTGAATTGTTTTGGCTCTGCTGAATGTAACGCCCCCCGTTAGAATAGCTCTGCTGACAATTGGGCTTCATCTGAGGCGGTGGAGTATAATACAGAGACTTGCCAGTCCTAAAAAAAGTGTGATCAAATCATGGCACACAAGAGAAAATACACGATTAGTTGAAAATGAAAACATTTGGCAAATGACTTACTGAGTGAAAGACAGTGAGGTGTTGAGTTTCCTTTCCTTGTGCATTGTATTGTAAGCTGCTTTGAGCTTAACATATTTTTGATAGACTTTCTTCAAATTCTCCGCACTGGCCCAGTAGGCTTCCTTCAGCGTTTGATATTTGTGCTCCTGTAATAATAGAACGCATTTTTACGAAAACGTTACGGTGGAATGAAAAATACAGTAATATATGTGTACATATACATACACATATATGTCTGGAAAGTAAACACAAATTGAAAACCTACATTTTCGTTGGCTCGCTTCAAGCAAAGATCTACTTGAGCTCGCTGAAACTGTTCTGCCTGGACGACTTTGTCGAGCAGATCACAGATCGGAGTGAAATAGTGGTTGATTTGAGGGCTCAGGGGTTCCTTTAGTGGAAGGGAAATGGAACCCGTCGATCCGCACTGGCAGCATCTCTCCTCAGCTAAACGGTATAATGTCGTCAAGCAAAGTATATACTTACATTCCATTGCGTACGTGTTACGTAAAAATATATGAAAATTTGACCAAAGAAACAGCTCACCTTTTGTTATGCACTTGTCGCAATAAATGTGACCGCACTGGGTCAAGTGGAATATTGTCTGTTTGTCTGCGATTCTCAGCCAGCAAGAGTTGCAGCGCATCCACTCCATATTTTGCTCTCCAAAACAATACGTGTAAGTATAATATTGTATCTTCTCGATGCGTGTATATGCACATAGATGTGTTTTTTGCTGCACTCTGATTTTGGTTCGTTGGCCGTTGAGCATTTTTTTTTTTATTTCGCGTTCGATTATTTTATTTCCGAACTCGAAACAGTTAAACCTTTGAATTCAATTATAATAAGCATAAAAATAATAAAATAATATTTGTAATAGTCATCATATACCAAGAAAGTTTTAAAAAGCCAAATCAAACTTTTCTTTTATAATCAAAAGTTTTTTCCCACTTGGGCTACTATACACTTTCATAATTATGCATCGGTATACGATAAACTGTGGTACTTATTGAACAGGAGATGTTTTAGTTGGTTATACATATTAATTGTATTTGAAGGTGTGAAGCAAAAGTCTGTCGTTTACATTTTTTGTAAACGGTAAAAATGTCCTGTACTAATATATAATATTATCAATTTATAATTGCACGCTACATGCTCGCAACAGTAATTTATTTTTTTTGTGTGTACAAATTGAAACAAATGCATTAGAAACGTTTATTATACGTGAGGTCTAAATAACTTATCATACATATAAAACGATATGCAGTAAGTCCGATAGCAATTGCATTAAAGGCCTCTCTGTTTGCGCTCCCCTCTACTTAATATATACGTAAGCGCTAATCTCATTTACAAGATGTTCAAATAGAAGAAAGTAAATATAAAAAATGTGATTCTTCGCGGAGTATACTTGGTGATTTTTTTTTTTATTCACAAATTGTACGGCGATCGATGGACGTATATTAATAAAAAAATATATCCAGCAAGTATCAAAAAGTTCTGAAATTCGGCAAATAAAAGTACATCATGATTATAATAAATGTATAATAATGCCGTATAGCTCTGATATTCATATCAGTCACGCGTCACATCGATCGCGAATTCGCATCTTGTGTAAAACGTACTCCGAAAAATAGCGACATCTTAGTCCTCGGAAAACACCATCCCTCCCTTATATAACACCCACACGTACTCATCCGCTACCCCCATTATATATATACACAAAAGCGCACGTGCACGCGTGCCCTATCAGTATAGTATCGCCAGTTGTTCTGCAGACTTGCAGAGTCAATATAAGTAATGCAACATCACTACATCACTCACAGCCGGCTTTGGGGGTCGCTTAACGAGAGAAGCCGTGAGGCTGAGGGCTGAGGGGTGAAAAAGTTTCTCATCGCAGAGAGAGCTATATACAGCTACCTATACATATAACGTAGCATATTTATGTATAGGTACATACAGATGTGGTGGTGTGTTACACCACTAACGGCACTAACCACTGCACGCCTCTCTTATCATTGTATTGACACGTTTATGTGTACGCATGTGCTTGCTGTAGGTATATAATATATAGGGGTGAGTTTGGATCGAAAGAGAGAGAGAGAGAGAGAGCCTGTGGGAATAAATCGAGCCGTCTGTCTGTGCTCCGCACCCCCTCTCTTTTCGACGGCTAAACGAGGGTTGCTGCTGCTGCTGCTGCTGGTGTATATTTACACTTTCTCAAGCTTTACTCTGTCTGACTCATTCGTGAGGGATCATCGCCAGGGAGCACTAGGTGGTTGTGGTACATATCATCCCTGCTCCCTTGGATATATAAAACGATATAGTGTATACGTTGGGAGTTATATACTTATACATTTCCTAGCTGTGTCGTCGGAAATAAACAATATATCGTTGTCGCTCACTTGGCTGCTGGTCTATCAAGTAATTGTTTGTTGTGTATTAATTAATTGTTATACATAGAAGACGGTATATCTATTTTGTGTGTTTAAACATATATGTACAAAGACATGGCAGCCATGAGGAGTAAGAAGCTTGAGCCAGTAGTGACGAGTTGCAGAAATCAGAGATGTCAAAGCAATAATCTGCGCCAGTGGGACAGAAGCCATCAAAGGTATGTGGTTCTATTTTTTTGGCCCCACGTCTTTTCTCCCCCAATGGTACGGTTATTCTGTTATTTGCATTTGCTCGAAAGAATTTGTTGTCATTCGAGAGTGGTATATTATTATTATCATCATCATGAAAGCTGTCGAGTCTGCACGAGCTTGCAAGCGCTTTTTAATCACATCGAAACGCTGCGTCTGTGCTTTGAGGCTCGTCGGACACACAAATATTATTTGCAAGCTCTGATGCTCCACGGGTTGTGTGTTTCGTTCTCGGCACGGTTTGACCAAGTGTCGATTATTTTATACAAAAATTCAAGTACAATTATTAAATTTAACATTTTTTTGGGGGTCGGGTTTTTTTTTTACCACAAAAATTCTCGTATCGCCTTTTTTCTTCATAGACATTATTTGTTACCTATACAAAGCTGCTTAAATAGATCAATGATTTCATATTGTAAATAAAGCTTTTTTTCCAAATAATATATATATATATATATTATGTACGTAACAACTTAAAAATTTTTTTACTGGTGCATCACACACGTATGAAAATAAGCGAGATACTTGACAATTTCCATGTAGAAAATAAAAAAAACTTTGAATCGTAACGTAATTTCCGAAAAGTTTTTCTACCAATAATATCATAAATATAACAGCAGTATAGCTTCGAACCCGCAGTGTATAGTTATATGAACAACTTTGACGCTTATAACGCGTGCCATTATGGCACACACATGCCCAAACAGGTACAGGACGTCGGAGCCTCTGGAGCACCGTTTGTCAGGAGGAGGGGAGGCCGGGAGCGGTCGAATCCGTACCACCAGCTGTCGATCCCGCGTGCGCCGCGTCAACACGGCCTTCGGCGCTCTGAGGACTCTGCTGCCCACTCGGCCGGCCGACCGCAAGCTCTCCAAGATCGAGACCCTCAAGCTCGCGGGTAGTTACATCAACCATCTCCTGGCCATTTTGGTCGTTGGTGCCAGCGACAGGCCGTGCTCGCGCTTGTTACCACCGCCGATGCAACGGGACGAGGACAAACTCCAGGAGGACGCCAAGGACAACGACTCGTGCGCCTTTTGTACCGTTGACCGCTTGGAACAAGACGTCTGTGTACGTATTATATGTATAACGCTGCGTGTTTTTGTACGTGGTGTTTACTGTTTTTTTTTAGCACATGTGCTCCGAAATGTAAAACATGTATACTTACCTTCATAAACGAGAAAACTTTTGAGACAAAAGATGATTTTCAACACTAATTTTTGGTCAATATCGCTACTACACGTGTATTGTTAATACCCGTAGCTAAATATATCTTTTAGCATGTTGCAAGAAAAAAAAAAAAAAAAAAAAAAAAAAAAAAAAAAAAAAAAAAAAANAAAAAAAAAAAAAAAAAAAAAAAAAAAAAAAAAAAAAACCATAGAATTGTGCAAGAATACATGAAATTACAGTATGGTTGATTTGGCTATTTGCTCTCTGATTACAGAATTTGACTCTGGATTCGCTCGTGTTGGCGGATTTCAACGAATCATCAGACAAGTCGATACCGCCTGCAGTTTGAAAGACAATTAACCGACGCGCATCGGGCGTTTGTTGATCGAAAAACGTCATTTTACATTGTAAATATTAACACAAACTCATGAAGATGATATGTCGTATGTGCACAACTATTGATTAATTTTTGTTAAGCGGTGGATTTATAATATTACTATTATTATTATTATTATTATTTCTCAAACAGTATTAGTAATTTATATACGTAACGCAATCGAATATTTAAAAATATATGATTAGGTACTTGTGATTGTTAATGTTTGTCGTAATTATTAATGATAATAACGACGATGAATCTATTAATCGGCACAACTTTGAATGGTAATCACATTAATGTTTTCAAGTAGCACGTCATAGTCTTATATACATTACTTATGTACCGTTAAAAAAGTGTATGTGCAAATCTTAAAAACATTACAGCCATTTTGCACCAAAAATAACGAAACACACCCTTATTCTATTTTTAATGTGAAGCACCCAACTTACCAACAATAAAGCAGGCAGTTCTATATTTTGCCAAAAAACAGTGTTGGAAAATTCGTTCTGTTAATAACCCGGCCAACACGTAATTTCCTACTTTCAAAACGATTTACTGGAATTAATCGTAATAATTTATTTTTATCATTCACGTCTGCGTGTACTTATATTATACAAATCATTCATCTTACTATGGATAGCGAGACAGCCAATACAATATGTCAAATCATTAAAACTTTTTTTTTTTGGCATGGTGAAACAATTACCCTGTATGATTGTGTTCAAAAATGTACGGAAAATTTAATACGAAACAACAGAGTACTCGCTGTACGTTAGTGAGTAAATGTTTCTTTATAATTTTGGAACGAATGGTAATTTCGAACGTGCCCAAATGTCATACGGACGTACGTACCTATACCTTTTTTTTATTATATAACAGTGTACTAACCTCTGAGAGGTATGTACACCACTGTACCTATACCTAATAATTTACGAATATAAAAAAAATTACAAGGATAAAGATGTAGAAATAAAGAGGAGAGAAAAGGGTGAAAGATAGAAAAGAAAATCCTCTTCGACTTTGAGTTCAGTACACTACGAACTACGACGTACATGTATGTATAATATTGTACGTGCCTTTGTTTAATTAACAAGTCAAAAATGACATAAATTTATTCAAGTAAAGGTCTCGTGTCGCCCGTCAGCTATATTTTTTTGACACATTGTTTTAGTCTGCCAGTCTGAAGTTCTCACTCTCTTCTCGGGGCCTATAGATACTTACTTACCTTGAATTTACTGGCGCTTTGATGCTCTCTTAGATAATATATTCTCTAAGGATATATTATGATCTGCTCCGTAATCTGGCCAGTAAAAATGGCAGACGACAAAAAACAGCAATACTAAATAAATTTTCACATTTTTTCCATACGGTTTTTTTGCTTCGGGCGTGACCGGGATTCGTCGGTGGCCTCCGCTCTTGTATCATTTCGATCAACGCCATCTAACGTGCGATTTTTCTCGTGACTCCAAAACCCTGTACTGACGTTTTTTAGTTTTGGGTGACGAAGAAAAGCACAACTCAGATTTTGCGACATATAGATAAGTATGAGTTGGGCTTATTCGTCCGCCGACAAACATTGGCGGCCCGGAGTCCCGGACATCCTATAGCTATAGGACGGACATTTTTTTGTTTCGACATGCTAAGAGCTAAGAGCGAAGGTCACCGATGAAGCCAGATCACGCCCGAAGCAAAAAAAACATCCGTAGCGTACTCGTAGGCCCGTAGGGTGTCCGGGCCGTCGAATATATAGCCAATTCTTATTGAAGGACGAAGAAAAGCTTAACTCAGATTTCTCCATGTCATTTTGAAGGGTAAAATCTGAGTTGTGCTTTTTTTCGTTGCTAAAAACTAAAAAACGTCAGTAGGGTCTTGGAGCCACGAGAAAAATTGTACGCTAGATGGCGTTGATTGAAATATTCGAGCGAGCAGGGACACCGAAGCAAAAAAAAACCGTATGGAAAAAATGTGAAAATTTATTTAGTATTGCTGTTTTTTGCCGTCTGCCATTTTTACTGGCCAGATTACGGAGCAGAGCACAATATATCCTTATAGAGAATATATTATCTAAGAGAGCATCAAAGCGCCAGTAAATTCAAGGTGGTTGACTTACCGACTTGACGATAACGTAGGGCACAACCCAAAATTACTTTTGCTGGTAATGATTGCGGAGAACACCCTTGCCCACCTAAGATTTGACATTAAGTGTAGGACACCAAGTTGTCATCGGTCGATTAATTGAATTCGCGCGATATGGTTATGGAATGCAGGTACAATGCGTTGCTACAATTGCGGATTGTGGCAGTATTCAGTGTATTCTCACGAAAGGCAAGTGGTTGGTCAGTGGCGTTAGTGGCGTGTGGTGGTACGTGGTATGTAGGTACTATGTAATGAACGATGTATAATTAATGATTGATGAGTGGTAACTGCTAAGTGTTTGCAATTTGAGTGATGTTTAGTACAGCAAGCTGCTAATAAATATATACACTGGGTACGAAGAACGGGGAAGAAGGTATAGAACCAATTACTAAGTGAGCCAGTGAGCGTCCAATTGTGGCACACGCATATCTTTCCATCACGCTTGCTCATGGGCGACGAGTTTGGCGCGCTCTCGCTCGAGCCCGGTGAAAAGAACTTTACGTGCAGCGCTGCCACCGCCGCCGCCACCTCGGGTTGAATTAAAATATAAAACAGCAGCAGCGTGACCGACCATCCCAGACACCCGTGCCGTATACGTATAGGTAAATAGACGTCTGAACACTTTGAGAGCGCGCGCAGAAAGAGAAGGGAGAGAGCCCGTTCTCTCGCTCTCCTCGGAGACGACAGACGCTCGAGAGAGAGCGGTCCGCCTCCCCCCGCGTGCATGCGTGTGAATACAGACGTAGTCCATATAGCTATATACGTAGTCATTGTCCGGTTGTCGTCGTCGTCGTCGTCATACCTATCCGTGCTCTCTTCATCAGCCCGTTTACACATACACCTGTTTTGCGCACCCTGGATGGTTTCTCGGGTAGAGCCGGGGAAAAGTGCCTTCAGGAACGGTCTGCAGCGCGTGTTCGTATGTGTGGGCGCATTAATATATTGCTTTACTCCTGATGTTATTGGCTGGTGTGTGTAAGCGTAAGCGGCAGCTCTTTCATCGTCTTCTTCTGCTGTTTGTCAATTTGTACGTACATTTGCTTTATCTGTGCACGATACATTTGAATGGGTATGCAGTAGAATAGTAAATAAGTACTTACCTATGTTTTTATCAACGAGTACGTACCTTCCATTGGTTTCTTTGCTAAAATATCGCTCAAGTAATTACAGAGGGGGGTGCCCGTCTAATCTATTTTGAGGTTAAAAAGCTACCGTGTGTGTCTCCCTTTTATCGCAGAGCGCCCGCGCGCGCGCGCGCTCTTGTCCCACAAAATGCGCACGCTGTTGCTGTGTCTCTCTCTTTCTTTCCTGTGTGTTAAATTTCTACTGACTTGTATTACACACTGCATTTTATGACAAAGCCTCTCTTTTTCCAACTTTCTTCGTTTTTTCCTTTCTTTATGATGTGATGTTCTTTTGAAATTAACGTTATGCTGCTTCAATTGTTCCCAGTTGAAGGAAATCCAAGGTATGTGTCTTACATGGTGAATCAAATGGGAAACAGCCAAACGAGCAATGCTACGTGCAAAAAATTGCCCATCGAGTACTACTGAATTCATCCAGGATTGGTTGCTTTAGGTGAGATAAAGTTTTGTTGGATTTTTTTGTTTCTAAGACTTTTGTTTTGAAGAACTTGATAGGAACTAGTCTTGCAATCAGTCATACTCCAAAATGTATCTTTATTTTGTGTTAATATTGCCTGCTATATTTTAATTATCTTTATAATGTTTGAAATCAAACCAATCATTTGGTTCAGTGTTCTCATGTAATTGAATACATTTATTTGCCTGCCCTTTATATCTGCATATTTCTATTTACAAAATTATTATTGTTTGATGAAGTGTTTTCCACAGTTAAATGATGTATTAAATGTTTATATAAATAACAGGAAATTTATCTATAAAAAAAAAATATTACACATCTCTATGCTAATATTAAAAGAACTCAAAAAATTGAGAAACAAAATGATACATAAAAGTTGTCACTCAAAATTTATGCGTTTTTATTCAAGTAATTCCAAGTTATGTATTGCAAGTACAATCAATGTTAAAGAAAATGGAAGTAAGAACATCAATGCTTCTATTAAAAAACAAACTACATTGAAATTTTTGTCAAAACCATACAAATATGATCATGATGTAATAGAATGCTACGTTAAAACATCAAAATTATTGAGCAAAATAAAATATCTAATTTTGTAACAACGATGTTACACAAAATGAAAAATGCTTGAGTTGGTATTATACATTTTAACTAAATTAGATGTCCAAGGTCAAAAAAGCTAAATTTATCATTTATTGATTGTTTTTTTTACCTTCAATGCAAAATAAATTTTATTTATCTTGGACAATATAAATTGTAGGGGTATCTAATAGCTGTACAAATATCAATATCACAGTTAAAATACAAGAAAGCTAACCGCTGTCCTCTAAATTAAAATAATATTTATTTTTATCAAAAGCAATTAAGTCCATAAGATAAAATTTAAATTATTGGTGAGAGTTACTGAGTGTTGAGAAACGCTGTATTATAGTTTTTTGGAATTTCGAACTTACACAATGAATCTTTTTCCATGAATATGTTGAAACAGCTATGCATCTATTGCATTATTTAAAAATAATGGCGTCGGTATCTTTTAACATGAACAATTTTTTTTATGTATTTACTCTCTTAAGGACCACAAATAAAATTTTTTTTTTTCGATTTTACAATTTTTCAGAATAAAAAACGTATTAAAAAGTCAGACATAGTACTACAAGTAGTAGTACTATAATCATGGATACGTCTACAGGAAGAACGTCTACGGGCGTTAGTATTAAGCCTAATACAATAAAAGGTACATATTAAACTATACAATTTTTTAAAGTAGTCTAAGTGTACTTTAAAATCAAAGTAGGATACTGTCGATTAATCAGTATTAAATGGTTATTGCCTTCTCAAGTTATAACAGGTCAATAAAGTTCTGGGAAATTTTTAGAAATAATTTTTGACTATTTTAAAATCTTGAAAAAATAATTCGTATTACAATTGATGCAAATCTTTCGTTTTAGTTGCACAAGAACAAATGGGCAGGTTAGATGTGTTAGTTTGTGGACAGTGTCATGCTGTCTTTCATTTTGTCGAGGAATTTCAGCAACATCACTCCAAAGAAGGAGCTTGTTCCAAAGTTTCGAATTTTAGAGAAAATAATAATGTAAGTTAATTAAGGTAATAATTTTTTTATTAATCGCACGAAATCTATTTTTTACAATAATATTTATAGATGGAACAAAAAGCGCAAGTTTGGGCTTTTCTATTGTGGAAAGACACGCAAAATCAACAAGAAAGTCCAGACAAAGAAGGGAATGGTTCATGGAAATTGTATCAAAAATGGTGCAATATGGATAATCACACCAGAGATGGCTGGATATTAGCTGGCAAAACAATACAAACGTTTACCAAAATAAGTAATGCCAAGATGCAAGATGTGCCTCAAAGTGGCACTACAGAAGGTAAGTCGAGCCAACATCAATTATTTTGTGTAATTGTCCTTGATTTTTTTTTTTTTTTTTCTTCAATTTATTATTTGTAAATTCTTTTGTCATTTCAATTTAATGCAACAATACTTCTTATTAAACTTTTAAGATACAGCGAAGTTTTGAACTTTGCTTGCTTTAAATTAAAGTAGTTTTCTACTCGTATGTGTTTATCATCAAAATGTATGCATCGAAATTAATAAAAGTTTTCAATTTCCTTAAAATTTAATTGCAGGAGGTAAGACTGTAGTTTTACGCAAAGTAATTAGAAATGGCCAGCCAGATAGCCCTGATAAAAAAGATTTTAAGTCTGATCCCAAAATTAAATTCGAACCCATTGATACTAAAGAGAAATTCAAACTAAAATCTCCAGTCAAGTCAAAGGTACGACAATATTGGACTTTAATTGAAATTTAAACTGTATCTTATTTAATCGATAAAATTGAGTAATATTTTACGCGTGCTCTTACTATTTGTTTAGGAAAAAATCATAGAAGATAACGATAACATCGACGGTCATGATGACTATTTTGTTGAGCAAATCATGGCGAAAAGGTTTAATCAAAAAAGAAAAGTGTTTGAGTATCTGTTGAAATGGAAGAAACGTAACAGCCCGTAACTATTGATTTCTTGTTTGGTATCAATAAAACATTATTCAAATTTGAAATTAATTTTAATAAGTTATTACAGAGTTTTTTCCAAAGATAATTATAATACTTGGGAGGATGAGGCACACGTCAGCATTAGGTATAAACATTTGATGGATGATTTTGAATCGAATCTTGCAAAACAAAGAGAAAAACAAGGTGCAAAATCTGGTAGAGTAAATCAATCAACTATAGGACAGAAGATTATCAAAACAGATAATGCTACAGCAGGGCCTAGCACTCCTCAAGGAGGGTAAGTACTTTTTCAGATGTTATTTGTAATATACTTGATAATAACATTGATAATTGAACGTGTTTCTTGTATAGGAGACCCATGCGTTTAAGTAAATCAAAGGCAACAGACCGGGTTAAGCAGTGGTGTGGCTCAATGATAGATGACGAAGGTAAGCGATGTTAAATGCCATTTTAAATTTACTATTGTTTGACAAAATATAAATTTTATAATTTTTTCGTACCAATCGTTATTAAAAACGATCTTTTTTTTTGTGTGTTTAATTTCAAACAGCATCTAGCAAGAGAAAAGTTGCCTCATCTGACAGCGACTCAGACGAAACGGCCGCCAGTGGTTCAAAGCGTCACAAGGTTGGGTCGAGCGATGAAGAGTGGGTTAGCGATTCAATGGAAGATAAAACTCTGATCGGTCGCAGTGACGTCATCCAACGCGCCTTTAGGGGTGCAAATATTCAATCCAACGGTTCTCGTCCATCGACAGGAAGCGATCTTCCCAATAATTTCGTTGCCAACAAGACGATCAAAGTAGAGTCCAAGTCTACCTCGGCACAGTCCAATCTGTACATAATGCACAAGAAGGAGGGCATTATCAAACTTGATTCTTCACCGACAAACAAATTGAGCGTCAAAGGACCCAACCAGCCTGCTAGCAGCATGGTAATCATGCGGAACAGCACTCCCATTGTGCGCAAGCAAGTCGTGTCCGGTGGTACACACAGCAACTCCATAACTCCGGTGAAGGTGTTGACCAAGTCTGACGGCACACAGATCGTCACGCAGATGCAAGTCGTTTCCAACAAAGCGTCACCCACGAAAGCAGGCACTCTCACGGCAGTAAAGAGCGAGCCGATCAAAATCCAACCTAGACCCGATCCCGGCCAGGTGCAGCAGATACACTTGGTCACAGCGATCCCAAGCCCGATCAACGTTCAGACGCAACGGATGGTAACGTCGACCACTCCAACAGCTAGACCAAACGCGACCGTACAGCGTCCCAGCGACAACAACGCCCAGCGGCCATTGTTGCCCCGACCAACCGCAATAGGACGTGGCACCCCGGTCACGTCACCCGTAGTGCACGCATCGCAACAGCCCCGTACACCGGTGGCACGGCAGACTACCACCATACCCCAGCAACAACGACCGGTGGTGCAGAAGCGCATCCCACAGGGCTTGACGCCGACAACCAAACTCGTGCAGACCCCCACAACGGGTGCCCTTCAAGCTATTCAGAAAACCAAGATCGTGCCTATCGCGGCCTCCCAAGGTAAGGCGTTGCCCAAGCCAGCGGGGACTACAGTGTCGGCCATCAGTTCCGCCGTTAGTCAGCAGACAGCAAAGCTTTCACCCAAGGTCACTCTGACTAGTGGTAAGTCACAGACAGCAGCGACGCCGCAGCAGAAGATGATGCTGGCTAGAAAGAAAGTCGCTGCAGAAGCAGGTATCGTGCCGAAACCCGTTAATCGTCCCGCTCTTAGAGGCCAGACAGCGATCCGCGGCAAGCCCAATCCGATGGCCAATAAGCCCAAGGAGAGCAAGCTTGCTGCCACCGGTGGCCTGCACATGGAATTCCACGTTGAATCCGAGAGCAGCAGCGGTGAGGAGCCGGATTTTCCGCCCTTACCCGCCGAGGGTGCCCAACCGTGCCCAGAGCCCGACAGTCCGCCACGCCAGTTGAGCCTGTGCCCGCACACTGGCCGGCTCATCGGCCCGGATGGTATACCTATCGAACAACCGGAGCCTGAGCCCGAGCCTCCCGCGCCAACCCCCATGGCCATTGTGCCTGCTTCGGCCGCCGTGGCTTCCAACACCGCCACGATCAGCGCCGACGGTGTCATAGCCAGTACCCCGAGTGGTGAGACAACGGAGCTCGTTCTGCCCACTCTTGAGTCCTTTAGCGATGCCGCGGGCAACATAGTGCGCGTCGAAATGAGCCCCGGTGGCACCACGGGTATCGTCGTCCATACGAGCGAGGCCCCAACCACGAGTGGCGATGGCGTTGTGATGCCTGGCCCTGACATGCCCAGCCTCGACGACCCGAGCGTTGAGATCCAGACAACGAGTGCCGGTGAGGTCGTCGTTAACGTAGCCCCGATAGCTACGACAGAGGTAACAAGCGCCTCGGGCACGGCGACAGTAACAACAGTGGCTGAAGCCACTACGACGACGATGGATCAATCGGCCGCGGACGCGCGGCCCACGTCTTCTGACGTAGCGGTACTACTAACGCAACAGGAGACGACAGCTACGGCCGCGGCTGAAGCTACGAGCGAGACAAATAACATGGAAGTCGACGCGAGCGTGGGTCCAGCCACTCTCAAAATAGAAGAAAACTCAGGCATCGTGACGTTAACCGGGGAAGACGGGGTCTTGTACCAAGTGGCCAGCCAGTCCGAGAACGGCCAGACGGTGCTTCTAGCTCAGGGTGCTGACGGCGAACAGCAGTGCGTTTACGTGACGACGGAGCATGGAGCCACGGGTGAGGAGGGCCAGATATTGTCCCTAGACCACGCGGTTGCCGAGGCTGTGGCTCAGTTGGGTCCCAATGCACAGTTCTATGTGAAGGAGGGCACCACCGAAGAGACTGTTGAGGCTTCAGAGGTCGCGAACGCCGATCAACAACAAATGCTTATGTACAATCCCAACCCGGTTGATGACAATACCGATAATCAAGTTGTTGCTCAAGTCGTCTCGTCCGATCCACCTACCGAAGGTAATTTTTAGATTCCCTATACTTATGTATAAATTGTCCTTTTGAACCGGTAATATAACTGAATTTGTAAATAGTTACCTTTTTCTCGACAATTGTAAAGCTTGTTTTTTTTTATTAGCCATTTGTATTGTCTGTTGAAGAATATTAACAACAAATGCCTGTAAATATAAAATTAAATGCTAAAATTCCTATTTTATTTTGTGTTCAACAGGTGGCATAAGAAAGGTAGTATTGCTTCTACCAGATGGAAATTTGATGATGACCGAGGTTGACGAAGAGCAGTACGTAGCGCTTGAACTTGACAAGTGAAATGACATCGAGTGTTTGGCAAAGTGAAAAGAAAGATATGCACCTTCAAAGGGTTCGTGTAATGTATGTAAATAAGGAAGAAAAAAAACTTTCCACTAATGTGAAATATGAGACATTATTGATACTTTCTAGCTGATAAGTACTTTGAATGTATAAGGAGGCTTTAAAGTATGATGTAAAAAAAAAAAAAAAAAATTCTAAGCCTATTAACAAGAAATAATATTATCTGTATTACATGATAAACGCATATGTTAAAATAATTGATGTTTCAGTAACAACCGATTCAATGACTTAGTTTTTAAATTTATTTATAATTTACGAATTGCCAGTGCATTCTATTATCAAAATATTATGTAGATGTTATTCAACTTACGTTAACACTGTTCTTTTAAAAAACTTTGGTGTGATCTAGGATTTTATATTTACAAAAAAGACAATTCAAGTATATAAAAAGATTTACAAATGATACTTTTATACTTTTGCTCTAAAAGAATAAATGTAAATCCCAAGTCTTGAATCTAGTTATTCTTGCAAAGCAAAATTTTTTTTAGTGTCGTAAGCTCTTTGTTATACTATATTGCTTAAAATTAGTTTGACTTTTTATTAATTTAACCAAATTTTAATGTATATCTTTACATTATATTTTTATACAAATAATGGTGTGATTATTTTCTTAAACACTTATAATGACATACAAATTTATTCAATTGTATGTAATGCATACAAGTATGACAATTGTTAGCTAATAAAGTTCATGTTAAGAAGAAATATGGATATTTTCCATAAAATTATTTTGCATCTCGCATGTAAAAAAAAATATATAAATATATATACATACGCTATATTCATTTTATTTGTTATCTGTGCAATCTATGCACTATTTGATAAGGTTAATATGAAATGAGCAATAATCACATTCGAGTTAGTTACTTTTCAGTGTAAATAATAGTACTAATTTGAAAAATTGATTTTTCATTAAAAAATACTTGGTGTTATTCAAACTAACAAATATAAACATGAGTCGCGATCGTTAGCTACTTATTATTTTAACAGTAGCGAAAAAAACAAAACTAGATTCAAGACTTGAATCGTCAGATGTAGTAGAAAAATGTCGAATATGGTGACATAAGTGTAAATTATTGTTGAAAAAACTACAATCTTTCGAAAGGTCATAATATAAAATCCTAGGGTATTAGGGACAGCAATTACTGTAAATAATATCTCATTTGTTTCATATAATAAAACTGTTTATTAATAAACAATATGCATGAAATCGATGATTGACTGTGATTTAATGCACACAACAAACAATTGATGGTTGAAATAAATTTTTTATAACACACTCATAAAACTGGGAAAAAATTGAAATATTCATCAATTGTTGAGCTAAAAAAATTCATAACACTGAAAAAAGTTTAATGGCTCTCAATAATTTCGTCATTCCTCATTGGAATGATAACCGTACGAACTTGGAAAACTTAGTTTCATTTGAAGTGAGTGAAAGTTGTGAGGTTAATTCAATCAACTTGGAAAGCAATTCTTCCGTGCGATTGGCTCTATTAGACTTTTACAACGTAAGTCTATAAGTAACAATCATGAGTATTGCAAACTTATAAATTAAATGATGCAAATCGAAACAGGATATCAAAAGTCACAAAGAAACAGTCAAAGAAATAAAAAAGGTACAAAGCGATGTCACAAGCTTACAGTATTTACAAAATGAGAATTTTAAACGTGATGTCAGAAAAATCGATTCTGTTATGGCCAAAAAGTATTCATTGTTTCCACCTGATTCTCTAGCAGTCGAAAATAGTATGTAAAAAAATTATTTTAAATTAAATGTATGTAAAACGCTTAAGCTATACATCAGAACAAACTAATTATATTTTAGGTGTTGAAATAAAACAAGAAAAATGGTCGAAATCGGGGGGAAATGTGTTTTCAAATCAATTAAAAAGTTCTGCGTCAGAAGACACAATGACGTCTTGGTCTGTTTCAAAGTAAATTTTTGTGCTTATAATACAAAATGAAAATATTAATTTTATTTCATTTGTTTTCCTCGAAACGCGTATTTTATTAATAATTTTAAGATCGTACGTCATATATCAGATTTTTGTTGTAGAAACAGTAATTATAAAATTTTTTATAAGAATTGATAAACAAGTGGTTTTATTTAAAAACAGCCATACTTCAAGCCCAATTTTAACTCTAAAAACAAAGAAGTCGAGCCAAAGTACGTTAAAACAGGAACAGGCGAAGACAATCTTGATAGCCGTGCCGAACATTGTTGAATTTCGTAATTGTGTAACACACAAAATATACAAGGTAAGTTGCCCGTGACAAACATGATTAACAATTTTTTACTAACAGTTTTCTGTTACTGAGAATCGACTTTAAAACTTGAAAAAAAAAAAAAAAAAAAAAAGTTCTTTGTTTTCGTTGATAATAAAGACGACTTAGATGTCGTCAACTACTTTCAATGTTTTCTCTATTTCAATTAGTTACATCAGAAGTTTTTAATGGAATCAAGTGAGACCCAATGCATTAGTCTTGGCTGATTTAATGTGATGATCACGATGACACATTTATAAAATTCGTGAAAGGGTGTGTTTGATGTTTCCAATAAAAATTTGTAATTTTGACTTCTTCAGACGGAAAACCTTTCCCGTAACAATGATATTCAAATAATACAAAGAGAATTGCTATTCTTATTGTTCCAGTAGAAAAAAATTGCAATCGATTGATACACCTGCAGTAAACTACAAGAACTTGTTATTGCTCGTTTTTTTTTTGTCACACGAAAAAAAGAGAAATCAATTGATTGACACATTATGTTAGTCGTAAATACGCACACGTAATTAACACATCAGGTAAAAGTGTCCATTCGATCCTTGGCCAGAAATCGGTGTTGCTGCGTAACGTGAGCACACGCGAGCTGGCGCGTTTCGAGATCGAGAGGCGACCGGCGCGATCGGCTTTCGTGGTTTTCGTGGAGTCCGGGACAGGAGGTGACAAGCGCGACGTCGCGCCGGGCATGAGCGTCAAGCTCGTCGTGTGTTTCCGTTGTGCGATGTGGAGCCAGGACTCTGAGGAAAAACTCGTTATCCGCGTGAGGAACGGCAAGCCCGTGGTCGTCGAGTTTACGGCTCGACGCGACCCTCCGAAATTGAAAGGTATACATCACATAAGTACACATGCGTCGTTTAATATTTTTCAGTTTATAATGAAAAAAATGTATGGTCTCCAAAAAAAAAAAAAAGAGTATTGGAGAGGAGCCACCTTTTTATCTAATAACACAGGACCACAAAAAAAAAAAAAATAAGTGGAAGGGTCCCCTTTCAGCAACAATGCATTTCTTATGTATTTTGAGGCGCTGACTTCATTCCCATTGTCTAAATTGCTCTATCACATCACAATTCTTTTTTATTAACGAAAAACGTGTCCATAAGCGGCAATGCTTTTATTTCAGTAATTGAAGTAGTCCCCATGTTAACAAGTGTAAAAAATTGTGATGTGATAGAGCAATTTAGACAATGGGAATGAAGTCAGCGCCTCAAAATACATAAGAAATGCATTGCTGCGGAAAGGGACCCTTTCACTTATTTTTTTTGTGTGGTCCTGTGTAATTGACAGTGAAAAACCCACCCATTTTCAAGTATGGGTGAAAATTTCGTTCGGGGTCCAGAATCTTATAATTTGTCAACTCTACCAAACTGAACTATTTTTTTTTTTTAACAATTTCTGAGTACCGAGATATTTTTTGGTCCTGTTCATCCTTTGGGGGTGCAAAATTTTATTTCAAAATAATGTATGGTTCGACGGATTTGGTGAAATAGCCGGTAATAAAATTGTCGAATTTTCCGCAGTTTTACTGCAGACTCTTTCGTCGCCCTTTCACTCCAATAATAGTGGTAATCGAGAAATCAGCGACAGCCCCGGATCGAGCTCTGACTTTGACCTTATTTCCTCGTCGACGATCACCGAAAAATCGGTGTGTATAAAGACGAGAAATAATTTATTCCGCAGATCGTGTAGCTACTCCAGACATTTTCGTTGCGCACATTTAGAACTCCCTGAGTGACGCAATCACCGAAACGGGTAGCGAGAGCTCCTGCTCTGCGTCGCCGTACTTCAATTTCGATTGTAAAAAATGTTTCATCGGCGAGTACGCGTATGCAGCCACGATTGTGAAAAACGTCGGAGGCAGGGGCAAATTTTTCGTCATGAATGAGATCGACTGGTGTTCCATGAATATCGAGGTGAGATTTTTTTTCTTTCTTTTTTTTCCAAGTCGGTAGAGCGACTGATGAAAAGCTCTTTTTGTCGGCAGAACGTGACTCTTGAAAACACATTGATCATCCCGCCTTTTGCCATTCGCCCGGCGTATTTCGCCCTTCAGCCGAACGAGCAATTGACTCTGACCACGTACTTCTTTCCAAGTTCTTACGGCCTACAAGTAGTCATATTTTGAACACATTTTCGACTGGAAAAAAGAAAAAAATCAGTGGATCAATTGGGAATAATGGTACATTCCATTGTAGGTGGATGAGCTGTATTTTATAAGTGACAATTGTGCCGTGAGGAGTTTCGAGATCATCGGCGATGGAATTATGTTTGAACCTCAGCTGCTTCAACTCGACAGAGTAAACCATATATATCTTCATGTTTTTTTGTTTACATTGGAATACGTCTATTATTTATAAACAATCTCGAGACATTGGTTAAAAAAAAGCGAAACCTCATTTTTTTCCACTACAGAAGAAAGTCAAGTATCAGTGGTTCAAGGAGGAAACCGATAAGTTTTGCACGGTTCGTTATTTGGATCTTGGCTCCGATATTTCTGGACAAGTCCTATCGACCACCTTCACTGTCGCTAACGAATGGTAAACAAAATCTCTTTTTTTTATAATATAGGTACTAATTTGGTTGTCAAATTTTTATTAGTTTTATCGTTAAAAAACTTAACGTATACGCTGTCTCGCGGATGTAGCGCTTACAAAGTTAGGAAACGTGTTACGTTATATTTTCGAAGACCTTCGGATTTATAAAGGATAAAGTGACACGTTCAATGAAAGCTACAGCAAACCATAGTTTAAATATGAGAGATTCTTTTCAGCGGAGTACCTCGACTATGTGATGATTACAAACGAATATCCTTCGTTTCTTGAAAATTAGTGAATTGGACTTGAACTATCGATGGGACATCGGTAACGAGATCCTTTGTCCGGTCAAGTCTAAATACATCGTCAGTAGGAAAGCAATTTGTCCGGAGGACGTCAGCGTCGAACCGGATTGTGGCGTCTTTGAGTCTCGTTCAACTGCCGAGTTTACCGTCAGTGTCAGACTCTGCAATTTAGCTCCTTCCAGATATCGCGTGACGCTCCGGTAAGTTTTGCTTTTTACCGAGTATTCGAACCGATTTTTCCGGGAAACATCGACCGGTATATTTTCCAACACGCACGGAACTTTTTAACATGTCGGGTAGGCAGAAAAATCGGTGTAATGAAAAGTATGCGATTTTCAGACTGATAATCGAGGATCTGCCACTCGCTGCTGTCCCGGAAAAGTACAATTTTCCTTACGAAGAAAGCAAAGTCAGACGCCGCCTTTGTGACAACGTGAGCGCGATACCGATCACACTATTATATTTTTGCTCTTTTGTTTGTCCGGGCACTATACGTTTCGTGTTCGATTACTACTGATTCATTTCAGCCGGTCGACATAACGTTCGAGAGTGTGGAAGTTCGCCTCACCTGCCTGTCCATCTCGGATAAGGAAAAAGAAGCTTTAATAACCAGCAGCTCGTACGTGTGTATACAAACGAGCCAACTCCAACTCTGTTGCACACACACACACCTGTATCACTGTTTTTCTTCTCGCTCAAACAGAGAGAACGACAAAATCGCCAAAATTTTACTGCAGCCCTCGTTCACCGATGGCACTCCATTTTTATCCAGCGGCAAAAGCCAAGTTGGTCCTCTGGAGAGTAGCAGCAGTAGTGCCAGTGACGACGAAGTTTGCCGATTCATCAAGGGCTACGGTACCTGCGACTGCTGCTGCGACCCGTTGATTAGCTCGGCAGTTCTGAGGCCCGAAGGGTTCGCACGTGGACACGGTCAAAAATGGCACCCAATCGAAAACTTGTTGAAAAATAATTTTAAAAAAAATTTTCCAGGTGCCTTTTCGTGGGCATCGAGCACACGTTCGCGGTGAGTCTTCGTAACGCAAGTGCCAAGCGATTGAAGTATTGGTGGGGGAATCCCATGGGCTCCGACCACGAAAAAATCAAAGTACAGGTCGATCCGAGGTTTAATAACATTCCACCCGATTCAACGCAGATGGTCAAACTCAAGTGCCTGCCACTGGAGACTGTTGGTTTTTTTTCTTCTTTTTAAACTTATTTTTGGAAAACACATGTCGATCTATGCGCTAAAATTTGTATCGCCACAGGGAACAATCTCCTCGATGTTCGTGCCGTGCCATTACAGCGGGATAAATTCGTCCGTGTACTTGTCGATCGAGTGCGCGGTGAGAGCACTGTGCGTCACTTTTTACTATCCCGTGACGCGTGAAAAGAGTATTCGCGTCGATTGGAGCGCCGACTACGAATACCTCACGAGATACGATAAAAAGGTCATACCGATTTTCCACCTCGACATGACTGCATTTCGCCGGATCCTTCGACCAATTTTGTACATCTTACTGATTTTACAGACGGAAAAATTGAGCTTACTCAAACGAAAGTTGAAGGATGAAAAATTTTTGCACGATAATGTGTACTTTGATACGTCGGAGAACGTTGTCGAGGTAAAAACATTCGATTCTTCGAAAGAAGATAGCAGCGACGACGACGAGGAGGAGGTGATTATTATTGATTTGATTTGATGATTTCTCGTTAAGACGATGATTTTTTTTACTTCTCAATTTGAACTAGGAAGCACTTTCGGTTGACGAAGTTGCGAGTACCTTTGAAAACGATGTAGAGCTCGGTAAAAATGGTAAGGCAGATTCGATCGATTACTCGATGAGATCGCGCTGGACGGACGAAGACGAGTATGACGAGAACGAGGATGAAAGGCCAATGTTACCGTACTTCGATTTCGACGCCGATGTTTTCAAAAAACACTTTCGTTATCTCCCACTGGTTGTTGAATTTCACGTGGTATCCGGTAAATGTGAGTCCGTTGACAATAATATACATATATTGTTGTTGTTGTTGTTGTTGTTGTTTCCAACTTTGAATCAAAATTTTTGCAGATATGCGAAAGCGTCTCTTTTTGCAAAATGAAAGTCCAATATCAAGCTATTTTCGCATAAAGACGAAATACTTGAGCGTAAAAGAAGGAAGAAATCAATGTACGCGTGTCCATATTTTGTGATTAAAAAACATTAATTTGTACTTCAATTAATGGAAAATTTATGCCGATGTAGCTACAGAGGAATCGGGTTGGGGTCTCACTTTGAGCATCGAACCCGAAGAGGGTGAAATTAAGCCGTACGAGATAGTATATTTCGACGTAACTGCCCGAGGCAACTCGTGGGGAATTTACAACGACGAAATCACGATTAGCATCGATCATTTGCCTCCACGGTTTTTTTGGATTAAAATCATCAACGACAGCTCACCGATTTCTTATCCCGTTTGTAGAAACACCACCTCGAAAATTCCAAAAATCAGGTAGTAAACGTAATTCGTTTCTTTTTACTCGACCGTTTAATCGAAAATTTGGATCTTCAGGTTTGAAATTCCCAAGCCTGGTTGTGTCCCGGGTGCACGAAAGCTCTTAGTCGAAAACACGAGCGACATACCAGTGTACGTGAATTGGCACTGTTTCTTGATCGATCGCACCACAGAAGAAAAACCTTTTAATTTGATTGTGGACGTGCTCACGCCTTTTATGAGCATCGATGAGTTTTTAGCCATGAACAGTAGCTTTTACAAGGCCATACGGCGATTTTTCAGTTGCGCCTTCAATCCCTACCAATCGGACAAAAGTATCGTTGACTTGAGTAAAGGTACCAGCAAAACGACTCGCAGCACTTACACTTGTGACAATAATGGTCCAGATGGTACGAGCGAGAGTAGTTTTGATCGTATCAATGTTGACACTTTGGTTGAGTATGTTGCACCATATACAATCGTTATTTTACTTAGTACTCGTGTATGTTGCTTTATTATAACAATACTATACCATTATACAGCAAGGCTTCGAGCTCGAGATCGTTGTCGAGTGATCATTCAAAGCCCAAAAAATTGAGGGACTCCGAGTTTTTATTCAATGTGGTCCCTTATTACGGAAAATTATCTTATGATCTGTTTATTGTGAGCCCGTTGTTTCTTGATTTTTATTTTTTTACTTGAAAAATTATTATTTATCGTTGTTTAAACGACGAATTCAAGCTATCATGTTCACGGAAACAAGTATTTTTATCATTTTTTTTTTTTTCTTCAGATTGAACCACATGAATTGTATTTGCCTCCAAAAGAGAAACGTTACGTGAGCATAAGTATGAATACAGAAAAATTAAATCCATCAGCTGATTCAATTACTTGTAAAGCTTGTGGTTTTGTAAGGATTCCTCCACTTTTCAAGTAAAAAATGATTTACAATTGAATTACCACAATATGATAAAACAAGTTTATTGCTGTACCATTATGATTTAAAAAATTGCACGCAGCATCAAAAATTAACATTATGCAGCATGATTTTAATTAATTTCAACAAAATTCAATAGGTATAAAGATAATGTATATCTGCGAAAAGATGGTTATTACTTACCTCCCACTGAAGTTCACTTGGAGTGTGCCATTAAACAGTCGATGCTTTTTGTACAGACAAACGCAGACCAACACACATTTGAATTTGACATGACACATTTCGTCAAGCAATCAAAAAATACAATCGTGTAAGGTATTTTTTATCAGTTAATGCAAATTATTCGGTATTAAAGAGTAAAAATATTATAAAAATTGATCCACCAGACAAACAAAAAAGATTTTACTAACAAACAAGAGTAATGAAATCATGAATGTAGCTTTCGAAATTGACAAAATTTTCTGGATAAAAATAATATCAACACAACGTGAAGTGCTTTGCAAAAATCGAGGATTGATACATCCAGGAGAAAGTGTGGAGGTTGCAAATTTTTATCAATAAAATTGTTTTCATACATATACGTATTTTACTTGAATAGAAACTGTTATGAATATTATAAAGTTATAAAATATATTGCAAGTATTCCAAAAAAATTAATATTGAAAATTTTTAATTTTTTTCGACGCTTACAAGTTGTGATATGACTATCTACTTGTGTATCATAATATTTATACAGTAACGAACAGATATACAACATTATCAGGAGAAGTTCCAGAGTAAAAATCAAGTCATTTCGATATCTTAAATTTAAAAAAAAATTGATCCTCTTTTCTGTATCAACTTTCAAGTTTTAATAAAAGTAGTGCATTTTATAAAATATATTGACAAACTTTTCAGATCAAGATTTGTTGTAAAATTACAAATGATTGGATGGAACAGTTATATTTAGAAAATAGAGGAAAAAATTATTCGTCAAATTATATAATTAAGAATGGAAACTTGCTCATCAAATACAAAGAAGGCTTCAGTCAAGTAAATATGCCAGATACAATAATAATAGTATTTACTTCACGAGCATTATTAATGTTTGATTATGCTGATCAATTACAGACAATTTGTATATTTCTTAAACTTAAATTACCTTACCTATCTCTTTCAACTCGTTACTTGGATTTTGGGAAAGTACGGATTGGTGATACAAAAGTTCTATCATTTACAATACACAATTTGTCAGGTAAATTCAATCACATTTCAAAAGTTTTACACGAGTTATTAAGTTAATTAAATTCATTGCGTTTTAAGCACTTGTTTTCAATAATTAATTTTTTCAGATTCCCCGCAAGAATTAGAAATACAAAGTACAAATATTACTCAAGTTTTTACATTTCATCCAAGTAAGGCTTTACTTGCTATAAAAGGAACAAATGATCTTGATTCACTTCAAGTCAATGTAAAATTTTCACCCAAGTAAGTAATCAGCTTGTAAATTAAATTTCAGCTTAGTAGTATTGTAAAACGAGAAAAAGTTTTGTAATTGTGTGATTTGTTTAGTATTGGGTTGATAAATTTAGACTACAATTAATTAGATTAATTTTTCAGTGAAGAGTGTTATGTATGTTGAAATTTAACTTTATTCTCGAGTGACAAATACATTTATCGAGTGTTGTATGCAAAAGTCTAGTCTTCTTTAGACGCTTTTTAAAATTGTCTTAAATTTTTAATACTTTTATTGACTTTGAGAAACAATAAATTCTATGAACTAGAACATTTACATATTTTTATTTCTCTGAATTGAATACTTACGACTTTAATTTATAATTACAATAGATGGATGACTTAATAATAAATAAATACACATAAGAAAATGTTATGATTGTATGTTGAATAAAAACATTTTTGTGATAGAAATCAAGGAGTTTTCAAGAACAAATTGAGGATCGTTTCAGAAGTTGATGGTTTTATAACAAGTTGTGACGTCGAAGGTAGCATTTAAATAAAAACGTTGGGTGGATTGAAATTAAAAAATATTTTTATTTCTTTATAACAATATTTGTTGTATATGACATTATAACTTATTGAAACAAAATTTATCATTTGTGAAATAAATACTGTAATACTATGACAAATAATAAAATGAAATTTGGTGATTTCATGAGGTTTTTAGAAATTTTCAGGGTTTCAAAAATATTGTTTGCATTTTCACATGATATATTCTAGTGCCATGAAAAAAATTAATTAAAATTTTTGTTCCCGTTACTATGTTATAATTATGATATAAGTAGTGATTAGTCCACGTGCTTGTGTACAGTACTATTGAAGCATATGTAGTAATATAAATTTCCTGAAGAATGTAACAGTATGTTGCCCAAAACTTTAACGAGATATAATAATAAGTTAATAAATAATTATGCTCTGCAACTAAGATGTTTTGTTTATTTCGAAGTATTAAGATCTATAATAAAATCTCCGTGCAAAACACCATAGGTGTTAAAATGTATTAATGATTACTTGGATGAAGGGACAAGAATTAATTCTGAATTGTATTTATTGATTCAGCAACATATTCAATATCGCTGAGCCATACACTAACGCATGGTAAATTGAATATACTTTAATGAAATTTTAAGAATTTATGAATGAATCATTTCCTACATGTATGCACACACGCATTCAACTTTTTGTATTACATAATTTATGTAATATTTATTTGCTTAACGTCTTCAAGATTTTCTTTAAGAGAGTATAGATGTACATGGATAAAATACATACTGTCTCTCTTGATTAACATTTCATAGTTTCATACTAAGGAGGTTGTTGGTGCAATGTTATTATTCGACCACTCACGTAATTTTTTAAAGTAAGAAGTCCTTGATACTGGCATTACTAAATTGCCGAAATATTGGACAGTTGTAATTTTTTGTAATAGTAAATAGTCCTGCTCAACTAACCAAATTTGTTTTTATGCAGTCTTTCATAATTTTTTTTTGTGAGCATATAAATATAGGTGTAAACTATATTTAATATTTCTTTGCTTAACATTTCGGAGTTTTTTCTTATCAGCGTAACGTTTATTGTGTCGCAAACTACATTGCTTACGGAGTCTTACCGATAGTACGCGCGTAAGAAATTTAAATTATTACATTGGTGTACTAGCGGGTAGTAGTACAAAGAGGTAGCATGCTCAACTTGTGCCCATCACATGGTGATGAACATAATATCACAGAGTATTATTTAAAGAAGCCTGTATTATTCGCAATATGCATTCACATTTTATGTAGGATAATAAGAGATTTGATATTTGTTTATCAGAGTAGATATAATTAAATAGTAATTTTATTATAATTCAAATCAAGATTTGTATTGATTTCGTTGTGTTTTGTTCCTATTCAAATTGTATTTAAAAAATTAAGTTAAAGTAAAAATAAGAGGAGAAAAAGAATTTTTTAAAAGGAATATTCATAGAAAATGATATGACGAAGAAAAAAAAAAACATGTTAATCAGTAAAACAAACGGCATATCGTAACAATAACAAATATGCACACCATATTATTTCTATTACTGTTTTCTTGGCTTACTTAGCTTTATGTTATCTGCTTTTAAGTACTGGGTTAGAGAAAAAAGAAATTTTCCATATTTATATACATAGAAGACAAAAATAATTACATGAGTAGAGATTGAATAAACAATTTCCTTATTTGTCAATTTATTTTTTATTAAATGTTAGAACTGCAGTTATCATACTAAGCAGACCGCAGTTCAAGGCTACCCTCAGAAGATTATTGGGAGCACGGAAGATGCGATCCACTACTTCCACATGATGGGGCATTGGTGCTCTACCATATACATTCTATATAGTATCTGCCTTCTCAATGAGAGTAAAATAACATTGATAATGGCAGCAGCTACTCTACCTGCGATTGGCTCAATCGCTCACAGTTTGTATGTAAAGAAAGAAGGTCAACTTTAATAATAAATGACACGTGTATTATGGAGATAAGTTTGAGATCTTGAACTTAAAGTGCATAAAAGATTATTTTGCAATAGTCAGAGAAATTACTCAGTTTTACAATCTACTAATGTAATATTATGTAACCTGTAACGATGAAATATACAAGGATCTCATGCCTACAAAAACAATCCACCTCCAAAAAAGTACTATTTAGACCCTTTCAATGTAGCTTACACCTTCTCTAAATTAATCAACACTGAAGCTGCAAGAACGTTTGTTATTGGTGAATTTACTGAAGATTTTGTAGACAGACAAATTTAAAAGAGAGATTGATTCATACTGAAGATAGGATCACAATCCTCATTATATAAGTGACAATGCATTTTTTACTACATTGTTGAGTGTTGCATGATCATATTATATAAATATGCATGATCAAACAATGTTATTATTCATAAAGATTACAACCTTTATAAAATAACAATAATTAGATAGATAGTTAAATTGATTCGATGAATTTAAACAATGTTATTATTCATAAAGATTACATCAATTATAAGATAACAATAATGAAATAGATGGTTCAATTAATTCGATGAATTACAAAAAATCTTCTGTAAATTTTGAATTATTGAGGTAGCGATAACGTGAACCTTAGGATAGTGAGAAAATGTTAAGAACATTAAACGATATCAAATTGATATTAATAATATTCACAACTTATTTAATGAAAAATGATTTTTAGGGAATTTGTGTATACCGACATGGTTAGAATAAATTTTCAAAAAAGATCATTTGCTACATAAAACTTTTTTGTCGGGTGTATGACAAATTTTCCCGACTCTTGATGAGATTTTATAGGGTTATTGAAAAAAAAAACTTTTTATGTCGTATTGTAAGGAATACTTATGATTTGCCACACGGCCATCTTAGAAAAATTACACGTACAATTTGAGTGTGAAACCATCACGAAAAACACGTTTATGGGAATATCTTGTCTTCTAACAGTTATGATCAAGTTAAATAAATATCTTAGTGCATGCTCAAAGATTTTTATGATCCCCTATTGATGTAAATCCTTAGGATCTACAAGTCTAATTCAGCCCACGGTGTTTCACCCGCGATGTATGTATATACTCCTAATGAACAAATTATAAATTATTCCCCTTTCCTTGAGTATAGATGCTTAAACTAAGATTTTACTATAAAGTTTAAATTAAAATACCTACACTAGGGTAGCTAGTTTTTCTGTTTTAATAGTTTTTTTGATAATAATAATTTTTATAAAGTGTGAATAAGTGTATTTTTATAACAGTAGAGAATGCGAGAGCAATCAAAAGTAGTGGACAATCTGCATGATGTTCAAACAGAATTCAGCTAATGAAAATATTCATGGAAATTATATTCTTACACTAGAGCACTGGAATCACTTTTGTGGACTGTATACGTTTTTACTCGTGTTACTCACACGCAACATTTAGTTTCCAAATAATTTTTTTAAAAATTAAGATCTGTAGTTAGAAATACAAAATTTGCCATTGCTAGACTTTCGAATATTAACAGTTGGATTACATCGCTTATAACGTGAGTATCTAACTCTATACAAATAAAAATTATATATAAGTAATGAATACACTTTAAATTGTCTTAGTTGTAAATAATTCTGAAAATTTCTTTAAACCTCACCAATCATTTCATAAACAATCATATTTTTTTGTAAAGCATGCTATGAAAAAACCTACATACTCATTTTTTGTTTCAAATCTACATAAATTATTGGATTGTTCAATTGACAATCCGTCAACGCTATACCCTACTGATGCTATTCCATCGATTTTTAGATCAAATAAATTTTTCTTAATGGATTTTAATTCCAAATTGGGAAAAGTTTTCAACGCCCAAGAAACAATACCTTCATTTTCCGCAATCGTGATGGTGCACGTACTGTACATGAGATTTCCGCCAATTTTAAGAAGCCGAGCAGCCTAGAAAGATGATGCATTTTTGAGTAGAGAAGATATTGAAAAAAAATTTATACCGTAATTTAAATTTTCATTACCGCAGAAAATAGTTTCCTCTGCAAAGGTACATAAGACCGTAACTGAGATAATTTTAATGGATTACATATTTGAGGTCTCTGGCCTAATGCACTGCAAGGTCCATCAAGTAAGATTCTATCAAAACTTTCTTCAGAAAAAGGGGGTCCATCAAAAACAGGTTTATCTTTTGATTCACATACAGCCTGAGTTGAATCAAAACAAAATGCTTTCACATTTTTGGCATCAAATAGGTTAATATTTGAAAGCAATTTGTCAAATTTATTTTTATTTTTTTCTAATGCAATCACCGTTCCCTGAAATAATAATTTTATTGAATTATATTACAATCAACCCTTTATACATTAAATTAAAATAATCAATATACAATTCTTTGACATAAAATTTTATAAATTTAAATGGCTCTTCAAAAATCTGTAGAATCAAAATCAAGTAAAGTTAGAAATGTATCTACCTCATTTTTCATTAACGCGGAAATGTGCGTAGTTTTATTTCCCGGGGCTGCACACATATCTAAGATAATATCTCGAGGTTGTGGATTCAATACTCGAGAGCAAATGACAGATGGTAAATTTTGAAGCAAAATTTGACCTTTGGGTAATATTTCCTCGTTTAATTGGGGAACATGTGATATAGTATCAGACATAAAAACGGCTATACCACTGGAAAAAAAAATTTTTATTTGTTAAAACAACGTATCATTGGATAATAAAAACACCTTACCTTGGAGATTTTTCATAATTTGCAAATATTTGATCTCGTGTTAAATTGACTATGCCATTGCCAATAAACAGTTTACTGTTAATGTCATAATTAATAACTAATCCTTTTTTACAATTTTTTTTAAGATCTGCATACACGCTAACTTTATCGCCAATTTTTAATCCTAAAAAGATTAAGTTTTTAATCAATTGAAAAAAAAAAAAACAAAAAAACTGCAATTGCTAGCAAAAAAAAATTTTTATAATTACCACGAGGCATGCCCAATACTCCAGGTGCAAATATATGTGCACCTCGTAAAACTGCTACACCACATGCTGCATCGACAATCAATTCATTAGCAACTGTTGTCAATTTTGATCCTCTATTACCTTCCCAGCTGTTGATAACAATTAATTCTTCAACATGAGGAAATGTTTTAATATTCGGAAGAGGTCTCGAATACTATGAAAATTAGTGTTAATCAAATCATCCTCAAAATTTTAAAATAGCTTTTTCTTTAAACATTTTTACACATAGTTATTCGTAACCTGTTTAAGAAACTCATTAATTTTATGATGAACTGTCGATGGTTCACATAAAATTGTGTTTACTCTAATAACAATATTTTTTGGGGTGGAGCTCATCCAAGAAATTAACTGTTCAAGCTTATCCTATAAAAAAATTAGATGTAGTAGACTACAACAAAGTTACGTTATTACTTCTGGTATAATCAACCAACCTGAGCATTATTTTCATCAATATAATTGTCATCAACTTTTATCCTTTTCAGGTCATTTTTTAATTCTTTTAGAATTTCATCTTTGAGTTGGACAGTGTGAAAATTATTTAAATTATCACCCATCGTTACACTCATGTACTGAAAACAATATGAAATTTTTTAGTATTTTGATTAAATTTAACAAATGTTTATTCAACAAATAACCATTTTTCAATATGAGACGAAAACATGTTATAATCCGTTAGAGTAAAATCACGTATTTGGTGAAATATTAAATTTCTTTGTTATGGTAGGGGTAAACGCACCATCTACCGTACACCCGTAAATTCACTTTATTTTGTTACCATGATTGTAAGACAGTTTGATACTAAATATTGACTCAGTAAATTTTAAATTGTTATTTAGGATCTCAAGAGAGCACCCAAATTTTTTTGAGGTGTTAGAGCTTGTTAAAATGATTTTATAATAAAAATATGAAATAGAAGTCGTGTTCCTATTTCCGTACTGTCGTTCTCATTACCGGACCCCATCTACCGTACGTGTTCCTATTACCGGACCCCATTCACCGTTTGACGACAGATTTGACTATAACCTCACATTTTTGTTTACAACTGCATATCGATCTCAGTGCCTGCTACATAAATCACGATGAAAATGTCAAAAGCAGAGAAAGATGGAAAATTGAAAATCAAGGAAAAAACGCCAAGTCAATTATGCAATTCAAAAAGATAGCAGACAGAAAAATCAAAAAAGAAAAACAATTACAGAGAGAGAAACAAAGATTAGAAAAAGAAAATAAAAAATTACGAAAGCAAGAAGAGAAGTTAAAAGCCATTGTAAACAGAAAAAAGTCTGTTGAGGAAGATTTAATGGACGAGACAGAAGCTATTGATTTACAAAAGCAGATTGGAGAACTTCAAGAGAAACAATTAAAACTAAACCAAAAAAGAAACAAAGATCCATCATGAGTAATTTTTGTAATGCAAGTTATTCTTGAATATTCATAACATCGTAAGTTGATTACTATTATAGTCTCAAGCTTTTTTACTGATTTTTGTCAGTCTAATTAAAATATTAAAAAGCAATAATATCTCATGATATGAAACAGAAATCTTTTTAATGAATAAATTTTTTTTTAATAAATGCAAATAAGTTATTTCATACAAACAAGCAGTAATTAAACTTAGATTAGTTTCAGCTTAACGACAATTAAATCTATTAATACTAAATAAAACTTCACTTGGCAAAAATTATTCAAGAATAACTTGCATTACAAAAATTACTCATGATGGATCTTTGTTTCTTTTTTGGTTTAGTTTTAATTGTTTCTCTTGAAGTTCTCCAATCTGCTTTTGTAAATCAATAGCTTCTGTCTCGTCCATTAAATCTTCCTCAACAGACTTTTTTCTGTTTACAATGGCTTTTAACTTCTCTTCTTGCTTTCGTAATTTTTTATTTTCTTTTTCTAATCTTTGTTTCTCTCTCTGTAATTGTTTTTCTTTTTTGATTTTTCTGTCTGCTATCTTTTTGAATTGCATAATTGACTTGGCGTTTTTTCCTTGATTTTCAATTTTCCATCTTTCTCTGCTTTTGACATTTTCATCGTGATTTATGTAGCAGGCACTGAGATCGATATGCAGTTGTAAACAAAAATGTGAGGTTATAGTCAAATCTGTCGTCAAACGGTGAATGGGGTCCGGTAATAGGAACACGTACGGTAGATGGGGTCCGGTAATGAGAACGACAGTACGGAAATAGGAACACGACTTCTATTTCATATTTTTATTATAAAATCATTTTAACAAGCTCTAACACCTCAAAAAAATTTGGGTGCTCTCTTGAGATCCTAAATAACAATTTAAAATTTACTGAGTCAATATTTAGTATCAAACTGTCTTACAATCATGGTAACAAAATAAAGTGAATTTACGGGTGTACGGTAGATGGTGCGTTTACCCCTAGACAAATATTGTCATTTCTGTATCTTGTAAATTTTAAGTTGAACAATGTGAAACACAATAATCAAAACAATATAGAAATTTATCATATCTCCTGAAATTAATGATTTTAAACTTTCTTATGATACTTGTCTGTTCCAGCTAATGGTAGCGCTGGTTATACTACTAATCGGGTGAGTGGAAGATTTACGCGTTTCGTTTCGCGGAATTCATGTATGATTACAAAAAATTATTAGTTTTACAATTCAAAGAATCACACAACTTATCAGAAAATATTATTTAAAATAAGTACAACTATCAACAATTGTGACACGAAATCAGTATGATATATCTGCTTGTTATAATATAAAAATTAATATGGAAAAAATAAATTTTAAGTATTATGTAAGTAGTAACTAATGGTATCTCTTAGAATTCTAGATAACAATTCTTGGTTTTCACATTTTCTTGTTAAAAACTTACTGCTATTGTACCCCACGAGAAAACATATCGAACGCTTCAGAATTTATGAACAAAGCAGCAATGTAGTAAGACAAATAATGGCCTTAAGTAAACAGTTAACTTTCGCCATCATTTATACATTTGTCGAGAGATGAATATTACAGCAATAAGTTTCATTCAATGAGTTACCATGGTGACTAAATTTATTTGTTAAAACTACTTGCGGTTTCTGATATTTAATACATTATCCATTATTGTCCACCATACTACTTACTATTATAATTAATTCTCACAGTTAATGAAACAAACATGAATGATTAAATATTCATCACATGATAAATGTAGCAAAAATTGAATGTTTACTTGTTTATTGTATCGAAGTTAAGCACAGTTTGTTGACGTAAACATTAGGATATAACTTACAAAGTATATTGTCACTTTGTTATATTATATTTATTCACTTCAAACTACATTATTTATGGAATGAACGATAAAACTCAGATGCGCCTAAACTAACCTCAAATTGTACTTCCGAGCATCACACGTTTTGCCTCAAGAACTTTATTTCTTTTTGCACCCTGTGCCGGTGATATTCATCCGCCATTTTGAAACCATCAAGAATTACAATATCTCTACCGGAATCGATTTTAAATATGTTTGTATTAAAACAAATGGTCATAATTACAATATACCAATTGATAGACAAAAATTATAAAATTAAAAAAGCGTTTATTTCTGAAGGTTATGAGAAAACGAGAAAAAAGCACGGTAAAATGGCAAAAGAACTTGTTAATAAATGAAGTACAATACGACAAATGAAGTTTCTTTCGAAGACTTGAAAAAAAACTTTAGAAATAAGAAATTAACACTGGTTGAAAACGTTTAAATTAATAAAAAAAAGTAAGGTTAACTTTAACCATTATAGTGTATACGTATTACTACTTATAACTAGAACTTACTTGGGATTCAGATTCGTCTGTAATTTTAAGAGGCACTCGTTATCGTTCCAGATTAATTTATAAAATTCTACTATATAATATTATTGCTCTATTTAACAAAATTTAATAGCCTCTACCAAGATGATGAGTGCGGAGAGAAAGAGCGGCGTAAAGAGAGTAAGAGAGGCGTATATATTACTTACACATTACGATTACACACGGAGACTCTTGGATACGTTCCGTAAGCACTGGCCGTTTAATCTAAGTATTTAGATAATGTGTAGATAAGTTATTAGTGTGAGAGAGATAACATGTCATAGTTTTTAGAAAAGTTAAAAATCTAAACCAGCCGCCACTCACACCAGTATAGAAAAACTTAATGAATTGTGAAGACCCAAAATATTTATGCCATATTTAATTTTGGTCAAGAGTTATGTGGTAATTGAAGTAGTGCCATACTGCCATGCAGTCGATTTTATAAACCAGCCGCAACGTAAACGAATCGACAGAAAATATAACGTTGATTTTTTAAATTGCAATTTGTGGCAAAATTAGAATTTTTCTTCTACCCGAAATTCGATCTCTAAAAATATAGATACTCTAATTTTATCTATAAACTTATTTATAACGTCTTATCTATTATCTTAGAAGAGTATTATAGATAAGAAGCGCAAAAAGGTCATTCTCCCGCCTTTATTAAATCTAAAAATTGCCGTAACTTTTGTTTCGGATATAAGTTATTGTAAAAAAACCAACTGGCAAGGTTGTGGCTTGGTTTTGCTTTTGCACGGGGGGTCCATATTTTTGGAGGTCGATTTTTGGGTAAAATATAAATTCTAATCTTTCCAAAAATAGCACCAATATCTGACAACTATTTATTTTTTGTCCATTGGTTTAAGTTGGGGCTGGTTTATAAAATTGATCCCATATTCACATGGCACTAGGCACTACTTGAATTACTACATAACTCTTCACCAAAATAAAGTATGACAAAAATAGTTTCGATTTCTACAAATCGTAAGGTTGATTAGTCTAAAATCTGATGAGAGTTGCGGCTGGTTTAGATTTTTGACCACCCTCGCTGGCATCAGCTCTTGGTCTATTATACCCACTCGTGTTCATTCAAAACAGGCAGATTTTGCTACATTTTGCAACCGTGTACCCGGGCCAGGGTCCTAAAATAGATGTGTCTGTTGTGCAGTGACAAACTTTTGTAAATAATTACATCTTTGTTTTGTTTTTAAAACAGTTTACGACAGAAAATTTACGAAAGCAGTGGAAAATAGTCGGATTTTTCGTTTATCTTAACAATCGGCTTTGGTTAATTAAGGTTATTCATTTGGCAAATAATTAAACTTACCATAGTTTATAGCTATCTTTTGTAATAAGCGACTTTTTCACCTAATTTCAAAAAACATTTGCTGTCAGTTATTAGGATACTTCTTGGGAGCTTTTTCATCAACTTTAAAACAGTAATTAAATTTATGATTAATATTATTATTATTTTGTATTATTAAATTAAGTGAAAATTCAAGTGTAATTTAATAAGTTCTTTCATAATGATTTACTTTTATTTTTATACGTGCCAAAAATTATTTTTAAACTTTTTGGAGCATGTCTTATTATTTCCATAATAAGGTCATTTATTATATTTAATATTCAGTGAAAATGGCTGATGAAGAAGAAGAAAAGGAGTATAGGTGGGAAACTGGTTATGAAAAAACATGGTAAATTATTTTTCCTATTTTTCCGTTGCTAAATATTAAAAAAAAATAATTTCAATAATAACTTTTTTACTATTCAGGGAAGCAATTCAAGAAGATGATCATGGAATGCTTGAAGCTTCAGTGGCAGATATCATACACAAGGCAAAAAGAAAAAGGCAGCTGGACAGAAAAGAAGGATCACGATTGGGAATGATGAGACACTTATTCATTATTCTTGATTGTTCTGAATCAATGACAAATCAGGACTTGAAACCAACACGTTTTTTATGCTCTCTCAAGGTAAAATAAAGTTATCATTCTTTATTAGTTTCAATTTTTTTTTCATTTGTTCATTACCAATTATTTGTTTGATTCAGCTTCTTGAAGATTTTATAGAAGAATTTTTTTACCAAAATCCAATCAGCCAATTAGGTATCATTGCTTCTAGAAATAAGAGGGCGGAAAAAGTTACTGATTTAACAGGAAATTCTAAGAAGCCTCTTAAGGTACTACATTCACCATATGGTTAAAGTGTAAGTGTGCTGGCATTTTAAAAATTTTATCCGTAAACTTCTTTAAGGACCTGAATAATTTACAACAAACTTCATTTACTGGAGAACCTTCACTGCAAAACTCGTTAGACCTTGCTTTGAAAACATTAAAATTGCTTCCATCTCATGCAAGCAAAGAAATATTAGTCATTATGGGTTCACTAACTACTTGTGATCCTGGTGATATAGGTGAAACAATAAAGGTTGGCTTTCTGTGTTGATGTTCTCCATTGCAAATTGATTTCAGAATTTGTCATTAATAAATTACTCTTGAAAATGTTAGACTTTGAAAGCCGAAAGTGTACGATGCAGTGTGATTGGATTGGCAGCGGAATTGAATATTTGTAAATTATTGGCTGTTAACACTGGTGGAGAGCACGGAGTTGTATTGGATGATAAGCATTTTAAAGAAAAATTAACTGCTCAAGTCGACCCACCACCTGCAGCCATGAGATTAGATGCAGCTTTGGTCAAAATGGGGTTCCCTCATCACGCTCTACACGCATCTACAACAGAATTATCAGTGGCTGTGTGCATGTGGTGAGTTTTGTTTGAATTTTTTTTTTTTTTTTTAATTTTCTTTGTCACCTCAACGTTATCCTTGTATCGTTAATTTTTTTCAGTCATGCTGACAAGCCTGATGAAACTTCTCGCTTCACAAATCCAGGATACCTGTGTCCCCAGTGCTTTAGTAAACACTGCGAGTTACCTGTAGAATGTAGGGCATGTGGACTAACACTGGTTTCTGCTCCACATTTGGCACGATCGTATCATTACTTGTTTCCTATAAAACATTTCAAAGAAGTACAGTACGAAGGAAACTCACAGAGTTGTTACGCATGCCAAAAAACTTTTGTTGAACTTGACAAGAAGGTACGTATTTGACTCTTAAATTATCTTTGTTGTTTAGGCATTTATTAGGCAACATAATATATTTTGCAGGTTTACGTTTGTGAAAAATGTACGCAAACATTTTGCTTGGATTGTGAAATTTTTATTCACGAATCTTTACACACTTGTCCTGGCTGTGCGACAAACCCAGACATTATGTTCAAACAAATGAATAATAGTAATAATACTTTGTAAAAAGACATACTTTTTCTTACAAACGACTTTTTTCCGAAAAGTACAAATTTAGATAGTTTGTTTGTGTACTATAACAGTGCATGGTACACCTTATACATAAAACGTGTCTTAGGACGCACGTGCCGTCACGAAAAAAATTTCCCTCATGAGGAAATGCATTCATGTAAATTACCCAATTCTTTGTAAAAAAAATAAAAGTTTATGTACAAAATTAAAACTTACTGGTCAGATTTCTCATCAGAATATCGTTTTCGTAAATTTGACAAGATTCCTGTGATTTTACTTGAAACATACATTGCTCTCTAAATTCCCTTACTCTTTCTGTTAAATTACGTGATAATGAAATATTGTTGTTACATTATTTATTGCTCTTTATTCCTCATTTTTCTGTCAATTTTGTTGCTGATTTTGCTGTTGATTTTGTTGCCAATTTTCGTCTTCTTGAAATGTTCCTGTATGTCTTTGATGTAGCCTCAACAATTTATACAACAAGTCAGAATTTCATTTGTTTTGAATTGATGCTTTGGAATCAAAAAGTGGACTCGTGTCTCCTCTTATGTGAGGATTAATTTGAGAAACACTGAAATTCTTGTTTGGGGTGGCAAAATATGAACTCGTTTGTGATGTGGCATACTTATGTACTTCAAGAGGGTTAAAACTTTGTTTTACATTATCGAGAGATTTAGTCAATTGTTTTTTCGTCAATTCCTTTGACTTTTTCGATTTTGATTTTAAAGGACTTGAACCCATTTCAACTGAATTTAAAGAAGAAACAGATTTTTAAACTATTAATGTAGTTATAAGTTAAAGTCACGTTAAAAGTTCAAAAATAAAATTAACAATATCTCACTTTATAAGCTGTAAAGGGACTTGAAATTTAAATCAAAGATTTTTTATACACTAATTCATCTCTGTTTAAAGTATTATCAATATATTGACGTTAATTCTCTTAGTGAGTGAACTTTCTTAAGTCTAATTCTCATTATTGTCAAATAATTTTTTTTACTGTAGTAATCTGAAACAAATTTTTTTTAAATGCAACAAAAAGAAAGCAGTACTTGGTAGTTAAGTTGTAGTATTAGAAAGAATATTTTTTTCGGCTAAAATATTAGTTCTGCTCATGTCTATATACACCAAAAGTTTGTTTTACTTAATTAAAGATTATAGATTTTACAAATAAAATTATGTTGTTTATGATTACCAAAAATAGCTCTATTAAAAANCCATTTCCAGAATCTAGTAAATAATAGAACATGAATGTTATTGTGCGATAATGTGCATGTACATAGCTAATTACCTAAAAGAAACAACACAGTCACGCAAAACCGATATATTTTCTACATTCGTGCCTATACACTTGCAAGTAGGTGCGAGAATAATGATCAATAGTCTTCGGCACCGAAGACAAGGAGATCAAGAAAAACCAAAGGAGCTCGCCAATGCAGCTCAACTCAACAAAGGTATAATGATAATAATAAAGTTAAAAACGCGTCACGCGTGCAATGGTATTAATTTGCGTGCCGATGTAGGTGTGCGAAATAGTTGACCGCGGTTTGCCCGCAATGTTAGCCGATCACTTCTCATCCGATCTCCGATGGGCCGACAATAGACGCTGGATACCGGAGAACGAGTCCACTTGCGTAAGTCTCTAACTTCGTGGCTCTAATAATGCTTTTGCTCTTTTGACCGGAGGCGCTTGTTATGGGACAGCTTTTACTTCAAGTGTAAGAATTAGATATTTTCAATAAGATAATTAACACTAGGTGGTTTGCTTATTTGCATTATATTGCATATTGGGCCTGGTAGGTATGTGTGCCTGCCCTACTTATTTTTTGTGTTTTAATTTTCTCCTATTTTGTAAAAAAAATGACATTTTCCCCCTGACAAGTGTGAAAATTGTTAGGGATCGGTCTAAAAAATTGTAAAAGTTGTAAAAATATTTCTGTTTAATTAAACCCGTGAATTTGAGAGTATGTGTATGATCCGTCGATTCGTTGGGATTACGGTAGACCAATATTACTTAATACTTCGATGATTAAATGATTCGAGGCTTTAAATTCGTGTTTTACAATATACAAAAATTTAGTTTTTTTAAGAAATATTACGGAAATTTTTGTCTCAGTTTTTTTCAGTTTTTTAAAATGCATTTTTATTTTAAAAATTACAAAGTTACTACTTTGAACCCTATTAATTATTCTTATTATTTTTCTCATGAGGCATATAAAAATACCTATATTTTTTGAGGTGTGTATACATACCTTAATTTCTTACTATAAACAATCTTCATCAGCTCAATATAGTTATTCATTTATTTAAATAAAACTACGTTTGTTATATTTTTTTTTTTTTTAATCTCAACTGGAGTCGTATTTAAGATAATTCGATGAGATTTTTATCAGATGTGGCGTTCATTATTTTACTTTGTCTCTGTTGAAATTTATAATAATTTGCCAAAACAAAAATCCTGTACTTGTTGCGATCAATGTAAAAATTTATTTACACACCATTAGACTTTTCCATTAAATTAGCAGACTCTCAATTCCATGATAATAATTAAAAATTGGTTAATACATTTTTACTAGATAACAACTATCCTCAAAAGTGTATTGATAAATTTGTGAATAAAAGAGGAAATATACCTTAAAATACATAAATATGATTAACAGTCGCAGTAGAAATGATAATACTTACAAACTCATCTTATCATTACCGTATATTCCCCACTTGCACAGTCATATTAAACATTATTGTAAAAAGCTTCACATAGGTCTTGTACACAGTTTAAACAATAAGATAATCAAATTTCATTTTTTCCCTTGGTGAGGATATAACTGAGTCACTCGATAAAAAAAACGTCGTTTACCACATATACCATGTGCAAATTGCAACTGCTATTATGTCGGTGGAACATCAAGAGTTCTAAAATTAATAAATGGCAGAACACAAAAGAGACATGAAGAAAAAAAAGGATGTATCTGTACTATCGCAGTATAGCATTGAATTTGCACATAACTTCAATTTTGATAAGATAACAATTTTAGACATAGAACAAAATTATAGAAAACGCCTTTTTTCCGAAATGTTCAACGTACATTACTTCAATATTCATAGACAACAGGATACAAAAAAATTGAAAAATTGTTGTAAGTCTCTCGTGAATTCAATTAGGAAAGAGGACTAACTTGATGTACATGATTTTTGGGGGGCCTCTTTCATTATTTATAGTATTTAAGTATATGCTTCTCGCTAAGGACTGCTTGCGATTCTAATTTGGTTGTACTGCGTACGTGTAACTACTATTGTATATCTTAATTGTATATGTGCAGAGTATAAAATCAGCTAAACACGAAACTTTGTCGATTTTACATCCCTTTCGTGAGGGTCAAAGGTATTTTTTATTTCTCATAGCTTTTTGTACCTGATGAGGGCCGGGACGTTGTCCAAACGGCCGAAACGTTGTTTTTGTTTTTGAATAAATACAAAAATATGACATTACCACCATTGAACGTTTTTTTAAAATTATTTACCTCCCCATACACTCATGTGAAAAAGCGAAAAGTTTTTCATAAATTTAAATGCTTTCTACGATTCAAGTCTCGAAGATGATTTTTTATGGATAAAAATATAGGTAAAATATCGTTATTCCCTTCGTTTGAAATTTCGAATGATTATCGATATAACAGATAATAATTTATTATGATATCTGATGACAGAAAGTGTCCCAAGGGTAGAGATTATACATACCCAAGGCCGAACTAATGCGAAACTAAATTCTTAGATCAGACCAGTATAATTGTCTATACCTAACAAGGGTCGACCATTGGAATACTTAACCATAGTATACTGAAGTTGCTTTGTACATTTTGTTATAAAATTGAATAAAAAAATTTATCTTCTTACCGTCACACGCGTGCATGTAATTTGTTTAAATTAAAAAAAAGAAAAAAAAAAACAAAATAATTAAAGATGTTCACATGTATTTTTTTATTTTTTTTTAATTGAACCGCATTTCATCGATAAAAGCGCAAAACAATGGAAAAGCAATCGGCGTTACTAACGCCGATATACAAAGCATCACAATGCAAATATGCACAGCTAGATAAGAAGTTTTATTGGTCAATTCGTGCTAGACGCAGCGTTAATAATAAAAGCAACTCATTGAACTCGCGCGTTTATAAGATTAAATGCGTAAGATTGTCTCGCACTTAATATTATAATAAATACTTTCTTAAGAATTTTGACGATTAAAAAAAAAAAAAAAAAACATTAAATGCAATCTGCGATTTAGTAAAAACTATCGGAATCTGTTATTCTTAACCCAATTAATTTGAAAAAAAAATTTTTTAAAAAGAATTATCAAAGAAATCACTAGTAAACGGTTTGGCGATAAACATTTTCATGATTAATCGTAAAAGTAAGAGTACTTTTGTACCCGTTAACGATTCGCAGCAATCAAAAACGCCTCGATTTGTAAAAAAATACCAAAACACAATTAAAGCCCCAAAAAATAAATAAACAGAGAAAAAAAAAAAAAAAAAAAAAATTCACCTGCGAGGCACGTTTTCTCGAGCGCAACTTCGCAATTTATTCTTCGATTGTACGATTTCGCCAGCGCGCGTTCGAGTATAAAACTTCAGGCCATCGTCTTTGTATCGACATGTACAATTATAGTACCGAGAGAAAGAAAAAAAAAAAAAAACGCGCGGCGTTTAATCCCCCGACATCAAATGATAAAAATAAAAAAAATAAAAAAGACGCAACGTACGTACGCAGACATTAACGCTCGCGATTCCCCTGGAAAGAAGGCAGGTATACGCGTACGTATACACATATACAACAATATCGAATCGGACAATAAATGATAAACGCTCGATCTTATCGCGAACGCGGCGTTGCGCGCCTTAAGTACTTACCGATCTCTCTCTCTCCCTCTCTCTCTAACCCTCGTAGACGTGCGCTTACATGGCGCGTAAATGAACCCAAGCGAGAGAGAAAAGAGCGCAAATAAGCGCGGCGTTATACACACCCACCCATACCTTTATAGAACTTTCGTGTACGTGTGACTATACATACGATGCCGCGCTTAACGCCGCGCTCTATCTCCGCTCGTCACCTGCAGCGTCTAGTGGGTGCTCCTTTTTTTTTCCTCCACACACACACATATATATATATATATATGGCACTGTGCTCGATCGCGCGACCGTCATACAAGCTGATCCGCGCCGTTGCGTTCGGCGTTTAGTCTCGATCTTTTGATCGTTTTTTTTTTTTTTTTTTTTTTTTTTCTGCGCCTATGTACTTGCTCTTAGTCGTGAGAACGCGGTCTTTGGTTAACGATGTGCAATTCGTGATGCGTGTATGTGTGTAAGCGGGTGTGATCGATAGTTTGTATATGATAAAGATTCTTTTTTTAATTTTTTTTACTTATACTTCAGTTTGTTTCTCGATAAGCGCCCGCGAGGGTGAAGTGAAATATTCGCGCGAGAAAAGAAGATCGAACTGAGGAAAGACGCTGGTTGGTCAGAGTTATCGACATGTAAGTAATAACGTGTGTGGATTAACGCACTATTTTTTTTTATTGTTTTAAAATAATATAGTTTTACATGGAGGGTTCAGTGGAATCGGGGTTTCTTTTTTATGTTTGTTAAAACATGTTCTGCAGAAATTTTGGAGATTCCATCCAGTATTAATTTTGTTCATAGTTTGAAAAAATAGAGAAAATTACCTATTTTATTTTTTAATAATTAACAAAACACCTATCAATCATATAAATTTAGAAACCCCGTCAAACATAGTTAAACGTGATTTGGAACATTTGGAGAAGTAGATTAATTTTTTTTCGACATTATAAATCACCTCTCCGCCAATCGTTTCAAGTTTCAAAAAAAAAAAAAAAAAAAAAAAAAAACACCACAAGGCTCAACGGGTGTTGAAAATTTATTTTGTTACTTCGATTTTCCGTGGAAAAAATAAAATAAAGGGGTGTTCTACATAAAACGAACACCCCCAAATTTGATTAATATTTTTTATACAAAAAAAACGTAGACAGTTAATATGTATTCCTATTTTTTGCTCTAGCGAACCTACAAATAACTTCTGTAAAGCAGACAAGCCTTAACAAATTAATTTTTACTATGATTTTTTAATCCTGAAAAAAATGCATCAAAACTTGACAAGTTTATGAGTGCAGCAATTGTTACAAATTTTATACCCAATTGACGAATTTAATATTACAATCAATGTGTCATCAAACTATAATCAATAAAATCAATTTTTCTATTCATTTAGATGATTGTTATTATTGACCTAAATGTCAAAAAACTACACTTTCAATGATTTCTACGTAAATTATTTTCCTATAAATTATACAATGGCAATAACCTTGGTACAACAAACTGCTACTCATTATTAGTTTTTCTTTTTTCAAAGAGAATGTTAATCATGCTCTTGTTAATGCTGTAACCTTCCAGTCATGTATATTTTAATTTGCCTGCAATTGTTGGAAAATTAAATAATTCAACTGCATCAGCTTCAATTGCACGTATTGAAACTTTGTATTTTTTCTAATTATCAGCACATTGTTGTGACTAGGTAAAAAAAGCTATTAAAAATATAGTGATATGTAAAAGTTGAAGAAAAAGTTAGGATTATATTTTGACACCTTAAAACAAAATCAAATCATTTTTATTCAAAATAAAAAAAAAAAAAATAACGATTTTAAAGTCCATTAAAACTGTATACAGTAAATTTTAATACCAATTTTTTACAACATTTAAATACGTCAAATGAAAACCAGCTGAACCAACAATACAAGTAAATATTTCTGCGTTTTTTTTATTTATTTTGTTGGAATAAATAAACTTGATGTCGATAATTAGAATAAAAAAACATGTCTCTATTTATTCAACCGTATATTTTCTTTTCTATACGATCCATGTATACTAAAGTCTAGTGATAAAATTCTTTAGTTTTTGGACTCATGGAGGTTTTAATGCTTACCTTAACATTTGATTTTTACTCTGTACACTTATGGTATAAAAATGTTTGCAGGTCTCAAAATTTTAAATAGTTAATTGTAAAAAAAAAAGTTATCAATAATTAAATCCGTTAGTCAAACGACTTTACTAATGATATATTTATAAAAGTTCATTAAGAATCTCTCATGTAAACGAAAATTCAAATAATTGGCTTAAGTTCTCAAAAGTTGAAAACATTAACATTTTACTAAGAGGCAAAATTTATGATGCGAAAAATTAGTTTTTCGTTCAATATAGCATCTTATTTCTTTAAACATAACAGATATGAATTTACACGATTTAAATTGAAGTGAAAAAACCTTATACGGAATTCTCTCCACTGACAAGAATCGAGAGAAATTGTGGAAAAAAAACATGTACATGTATAGAAAAAATAATCGCAACAGCCTTGTACGAGCGCGTAGACCTTAGAGTTAATAGACCTCGGTATAGACTTTCAACTTGTAGTATTAAGTATATGCAATTGATCTTAGACGCATTAGATCACACTGAGAAAGGTTTTTTTTTTATTTAATATTTTTTGTGTATTGATTCATTTATTAATTTGTGCACGTGCAGTTTTTATCATCGAGTAAGATGCAGTAATATAATTTTAGTAATGTACAAACAGCTTTTACGCGCCCATAACTGAAGTACTTACGGTATGAGTAAGAAAAAATAAATTATGTAAGGGTACTTATTCGTAATTGAAAGTAATTTATGTAAGATATTAATGAAATAATGTTACAATATTTTTTTATTTATTTTTTTTTTATTTTATTGAATTTGCAAGTTATGAGTTTCTTGCGTCACGTTAAATGCTAATAATAAATTCCGATGTTAATTTTAGAATGGACTATTCTCGTTGCACATTTTTATTACTGTAAAGCCAATGAAATAAGATAATCATTGTTATAACAAACATCAATGCGCCATTGATGATTAAACTCGGGTATGTCCGCAACATCACACGGTATTCCATCATTGTAAATCTTAAAAATGTTAGCCCAAACTGTGCGTTTGTTAGGAATCCCTAAAATTTGTACTAAAAAAAAAAAAAAAATACAGTTCAAAGTTTCCCAACGTGGCTTTGTCTTTGCTCGATATTCACACCTTATTTGATTTCCGTATTACAGAAGTAGTTACAGATTAGACGCATGAATTCACGCGCAACACGTGCACTTGCACTATACGTGTATACTTATTACAGGTGTACGTACAAGTATAACATTTTACCACGAGAACGAGCTTACATCGAGTTCCGGCGGATATTATAAGGACCGTCGCGTCGCTTTATTATATAGTCACAGCTCGGTCGTACATGCGGAGTCTGCCTACGAATTATCATGCGCAAGTACACATTCGGCCTTTAACCGGCCAATGACAAAAACCGTGACCGCGACTGTCAAGGTGTGGACTGTGCAGGACCTTGGCCTTCGCGCCGGCACGGCTAGCTCGCTGAATGTTATAAGTACTTGCCAATTCGAATTTTTTTTCTTTACCCCGATTTTTTGTTTCATTTGTGCCATTATTTCATTTACAAAAGACAACACGGCTTGTACATGTCAGCTCTGAATAATAATTTACAGATCGGAGGTGGCGAACTTGCTTGAGAAAACATTTTTTTATTGATTTATTTATTTTATTGTATTTTTCAATCAATTCATGGAAGTCGAATGAAAATAAGAAACAAATGTTTTTGCATTAAACACTCGTTCAACACGTTAATTGCGTTCATAATTTTTTTCCCGTTTACTTGTTGACAATGTTTTTTCATTTTCCCGTTAAATACGTTTTGTACTGTTAAATTTGGGTAACTTGAAAAATTAAACTATTGTTCACTGATCGTGGAACGAATTTTGAACCGCAACACGTTTTTCATTAATTTAAACAAAAAAAATTAATTGAGTACACTAGACTACGTGGTCTCAAACAAAAATTTGTTTAGTCTCATTAAACTAAATGGCCTGATTAAAACCTTTTTTTTTATGATCGAAAAACCATACCTTACGAAATCAAACGCGATTGCACGTTTATTAGTTCTTTCCTCTCTTTTGCGATCTGCTTGAAAATCGAGTGCGATTATTTATCATGTAAGAAATTTCGATGTGAAAATACAGTGGATAACAATAAATAATTGTACGCGTGAATAAAATATTAGATTTCTTTGAAAAATATTACTGGATGATACATGCGAGTATGCTTAGTTTTATTATATTTTCATACTAGTACAATCAGTAGGATAGTTAAGCTTTGTTGACTCACTAGTAGTAGTTTTTATTCCATCGGTTGAGATTTTTCAAAAAAAAACGCTCGCTCATAGAGACGCACATCAGCGCAAATCAAAAAACTGCGATCAATCATCCATCAAAAAAAAAAAAAAAAAAAAAAAAAAAAAAAAAAAAAAAAAAAAAAAAAAACTGTCGATCAAACGTATAACGATTCACCTATGCAAATAGGATTATTCGTAAGAAAAAAAGTCTACGACTGTCATCGGCGCGAAATATTCGCACAAATTAATAATCTAAGAACATGCGAGTCCAGAAGATTAAGTCCAACGCTTCGGATGCAGACGAGGAAAAAAAAAGGCACGATTTCCTCTTGCACTCTAGGATGATTAATGCAGTTTCTCAGCAATTAAAAAAAGTGGTGCAGCAACCTTTTTTTTTTTTTTCGTTCGATCGTTCATACACGCAACAGCTAATTATCGGTAATTGTCGCTCGGTTGTACACACGGTAGGTACAATATATTATATATAAATACACGTGTGGTCGCGGTGACGATCAAAGCGCACGGAGTTCTACACAGGAATTGTCCTTACTGCATATTATATTCTTTTCGAGAGGTGTACCGGCTAACTTATAGAACATCGAATTGAAAAATTTATATTTTTAGCTACAATGTAATTGCATCAAAATCCGATGAACGAATGATCTTTTGTAGGTGCGCCGCGATGTAAGTGTTATATCGTATTGATCGTTAAAAATAAAGAATTGAATTTCCGCCAGATTCGCCGAGGTGACACGGCGATGTGTGTGCAAAAGAGTCACATAGTACGTAGTCTCCGATTGGTATTGTCGGCACCTGATTTAGCGCGTAATTGAATCGTCGGCTATATACGTGCGCCGTGCACTCCCCTATTATTAGTCAACGCTCGCTCCAATGAACGATCGATTGGAAAATTCGTTTGTACCTATATACCATATTGCTTTGGATTGACGTTAATTGCCGCCTCGCGTATACGCATTCGAACACGTTTTGTGGCATTGACAAATATATGAAATATTATCGCGGACCAGGAAAGCAAGTGGAAAAAATAAGTGTTGATTCGCAAAAAAAAAAAAAAAAAAAACAACGCATATTTTTTCTTTTCGTCGTAAACGGCGACGAGGCGTTTTTGAAATTTTCAACCGAAGAGTATATTTATATAATTTGAATGTAATCGAGAATACGAGCCGAGCGAACGAATTGTATCCCACAGCAAATGAGAAAATCTCTAAAAACATGAAGCGCAGATTG